TAAATGAGCAGGGTGACAATATATAGCTATATTGTACTCCTTTCTCAATTTTGAACCAGTCCACAGTTTCATATCCAGTTCTAACTGTTGTTTCTTGACCTGCATAAAGGTTTCTCAGGAGGCAGGTAAGAATTCTGGTATTCCCATGTCTTGAAGAATTTTCCACAGTTTGTTGTGACCCACATAGTCAAAGGCTTCGGTGTAGACAATGAAGCAGAAGTAGATGTTTTTCTGGAATTCCCTTGCTTTCTCTATGATCTAACAGATGTTGGCAATTTGATATCTGGGTCCTGTGCCTTTTCTAAATCTAGCTTGTACATCTGGAGATTCATGAAATGCTGAAGCCTGGCTTGAATGATTTGGAGCAATTACTTTTGCACCAACCTAATAGAAAAATGATAACTCAGATTTTATGGAAAACCTCAAGTTACCAAATTCTATTAAATTAATTACTTACTGCAATTCAATATTATTTTAGTTTCGTTCTATCTTTAAGATGTATTATCCTAATGAAAGGATATGCAACTACGAATAGTAACTACTACAGAACACAAAGGCTATTTTAAATCTCTATATGAAAGAAAACTGGCCTAGCAAATAATTTCAAAAATAATAAAGGGATAAACACAGGCAACTGAAGATTTTCAATTAAACTATTACAGCTTCACTTAGATAATGCAAGTATTGCAAGCCAAGGTTAAAGAAAATCAATAAAACTGCTATGGACAGCTAACTGATGAACTGAACAGACTCTCCAAACACAGATGCTTAGAACCGGAGGGAATCACTCAAGATGATAGATAGCATCTTGTCTAATTATTTGTAAATATGTCTCCCTTACGTGTAACATGTCTATCAGACTGTGAGCTATTGAGGACAGCAGACTTGTCTTACATATCTTATTGTTCACTGATGCGAGCACAGCATATAGCAAAGTACCTAGCACATGGCAGATACATGTGTTTGAGTAAGAGATAGGCTGTGAGTAATTTTATAGAGATGATCAGTGACTCTGGGAAAAGAAACAGAGTATGTCTGCTGGATTCTTTCTTTCTTATTTTTTGTAAGCCTCAATGTGCAGGATGCATGCACTATTTTCTGCTTTCTATCTGCCTCAGTAGGGGTGGCCTATTATTTTATAGTTATACACTGGCTGGGTGGGTAAATGCTAATTTAGCGGTGAAACATCAGCAAGACTGTTGTGCCACATACATCCGTCACATTTTTGAATTACACTTTTAATGAATTTGTTATTTTATCTCCAGCTGTTGGAGTCATATGTTTGCCTCTCAGTTCTAACCTTGGTTGGAAAGAAAAGCGCCATTTATTGTATCTCCATATACTACCAACTCTAAAAGGGCATTCTGTTTTTAAAATGAAAGTAAAAATATGCATTAATAAAAGTCAGTGTAGCAGGACTTATAACAAAAAGCAAGTGCTGCCCCAACTCCATTGCTGTTCCAATCTTTGAGAGGCAACCATACTCAAATGTTTGTTTTTATTAATACTTGTCTTGATAGTTTTCTCATTAATTCTATACAATTAAACCATGCCTTTATTTAGCAACTTACCGACTTTAGAGTTAATCTATAAAGAAAGCTGAATGCCAAAAAATTGATGCTTTTGAACTATGGTGTTGGAGAAGATTCTTGAGAGTCCTTTGGACAGCAAGGAGATCCAATCTGTCCATCCCAAAGGAAATCAGTCCTGAATATTCATCGGAAAGACTGATGCTGAAGCTGAAACTCCAATACTTTGGTCACCTGACGGGAAGAACTGACTAACTTTAAAAGACCCTGATGCTGAGAAAGATTGAAGGCAGGAGGAGAAGGGGATGACAGAGGATGAGATGGTTGGATGGCATCACTGACTCAATGGACATGAGTTTGAGTAAACTCTGGGAGCTGGTGATGGACAGGGAGGTCTGGCATGCTGCAGTCCATGGGGTCACGAAGAGTCAACCATGACTGAGTGACTGAACTGAATTGAACTACATTGACTTTCTTCTATAGTGCAGGATAATTTAGTGCATTTATTCTATCCTTGGACTAAGAATTTGTTTGGGATAGCATTATATATACTAATATCACAATTATGGTGAAGACAGTTTCATTGGAGATTGTAAGATATGTGTGTGTGCATGTTTTCAAGTCTGACTCTTTGCGACCCTTTGGACTATAGCCCGCCAGTCTCCTCTATCCATGGAATTTTCCAGGCCAGAATACTGGAGTGGTTGCCATTTCCTCCTCCAGGAGATCTTCCTGAGCCAGGGGTTGAATCGCAACTCTGTCTCCTGGGTCACTTGCAATGGCAGGAGGATTCTTTACCACTAAGCCACCAGGAAAGCCCAAGATATGTGTATTGCCTAATATATAATCATGCATTGCACATTACATACACTCAGTAAATAGAGTGAATGTATACAATTTTAGGTTCAAACTTTTCCACTTGAAATATGAATAATTCCTTATTAAACATTCATAGGAAACATATTTTTTAGAATAACTGATACTAACAGCATAAGCCTATGCCATAATTTATTTAACCTTCAACCTATTGTGAAATACTTAGGTTTTCCAGTTTTTTAAAGCTACAAATAACCTATCTGTAAACAGTCTCATAATAAACTACATCTCTGATCCTTGGAGTAGAGTCTTAGAAATAAAATTACTGAGTCAAAAGTTCTTAATATATATTGCCAGTTTCATTTCCAAGATTTTGCTTATGTGTACTCGTAATAACGCAATAAAGGAGTAATTATTTCACTGCATATTGTTCATCCCTAGATGTATATATGCTCTAAAACTCTGCTAATTTTGTAAATTTAAAATGGCTACCTTGCTTTTTTAAAAAAAATTTGTTTTGCAAACTTTTTATTTTGTATTGAGATATGGCCAATTAACAATGTTGTGGTAGTTTCAGGTGAACAGAGTAGGACTCAGCCACACATATACATGTATCAATTTCCCCCCAGCCCAATCCCCTCTCCCATCCAGGCTGGCACATAACATTGAGCAGAGTGCCATATGCTATACAATAGGCCATGTCCGACTCTTAGAAGAAAGCCAATTCAGTTCAGTTCAGTTCAGTCACTCAAGTTGTATCTGACTCTTTGCGACCCCATGGACTACAGCATGCCAGATGTCCCTGTCCATCACCAACTCCCGGAGCCTAATCAAACTCATGTCCATCCAGCCGGTGATGCCATCCAAACATCTGTTGTCCCCTTCTCCTCCCACCTTCAATCTTTCCTAGCATCAGGGTCTTTCATAACGAGTTAGTTCTTCGCATCAGGTAGCCCAACTATTTGAGCTTCAATGTCAGCATCAGTCCTTCCATTGTCTATTCAAGACTGATTTCCTTTAGATAGACTGGTTGGATCTTCTTGCAGTCCAAGGGACTCTCAAGTCTTCTCCAACACGACAGTTCAAAAGCATCAATTCTTTGGCACTCAGCTTTCTTTATAGTTCAACTCTCCCATACATGACTACTGGAAAAACCATATCTTTGGCTATATGGACCTTTGTTGACAAAGTAATGTCTCTACTTTTCAGTAGGCTGTTTAGGTTTGTCATAGTTTTTCTTCCAAGCAGTAAGCATCTTTTAATTTTCTGGCTGCAGTTACCATCTACAGTGATTTTGGACCCCCGAAAAGAAAGTCTCTCCCTGTTTCCATTGTTTCCCCATCTATTTGTCATGAAGTGTTTGAACCCATGCCATGATCTTAGTTCCTGTTTTCTTGACTGTTTTTTGAAATTGATTATTTTTTTCTCCTTACATGATTTTCCTTCCACTTCTTGAAGTTTTCTATCTCTAATCTTTTAATGGTTACATGTGAAATTTCACCATTCCTACCCAACTACATTTAATATCTTAAATTTAAATTCCCTTTAGAAAAATTAAAGGACTGCAGAATACTTCAACTTATCATTACACTTCCTACTTACACAGGGTTGTTCACAATATTTTCAATACTATACATTTTCACCTTTACAAATTATCCACTGCACTTCCTGTGGAGTGATCTTTATATATGTTATCTCACGGTGCAGTTCTGTAACCCCTTTGTTTTCTACTACTTTCAAGATAAACCTCTAATCCTTTGAAAGTGCCAAATATGACCCTTTCCTATGTGGCCCTTTTACTTCTATAGACTTCTCACCTCCTCTTTCTAATTCTACAAATTCAAGTACTGGAATATGCTACACTCTCAGGCCCCTACCCTCTGCACGTCCAGTTTATGTTCTCTTTAGTTCTTTCCTTGACTCCTCCTTTGGGTTAATAGGTGATTTGGGTTTTTTCCAGCACCTACATGGTGCATTTCTCTAGCATAACACTTAATTACACTGTGTAGCAATCGCTGACTCCTTATCTGTTAGACTGTTAAGTGTCCTCCATAATTCCTAGCAAGGTGACTGGTAAGGAGTCAACGGATGTTAGCTGTTTGAAGGAGAAAGCATTGCAACACTTCAATACCATTCACTCACTTAAAACTTTTCAAGCTGCTTTCACTTTCACTTCAATTTCTTTTATTGACCCCTTTCTCTTCGCACTTTTCCCTCCCACCTACAACCCTTTCAACAAGCGCACCTAAAACTTCCTGTAAGTGCCGGCTCAGGTGGTCAAGACGCACTCAGTCCCAAGTAGGGATACGTCACGTCAACGTGCTGACGTCACGCGTAGCGCTGACGTCCCGCCGTCAGGTCCACCCGCAGAGACTTTGGAATCTCTTTTTTGCCATTAGTTGGGGCAGCTCGAATTCTGTTGGTAAGGAAGCGACGAGTGCCAAAGGCGGGACCTCAAGGATTCTTGCTTCCCCAATGCAAGGTAATTTGCTTTCCTGAAAGACTCGACGACAGCCGAAGGCCCGCCCCTGAGCGCCGGCCGCGGTCTCCCGGGGAACGGCGCTGTACGCTGGCTGCTGCGGGGGAACGCGCGTGCGCGGGGCGCGGCGTTCGCTGGGACCCTCGGTAACGGGCGTGGACGTTGATGTTGACAGAATGGCTCGCGTCTCCGGTGAGGACGAAGCGATGCTGCAGGCGATGTTGAGGCAGTTGTTCCAGAGCGTGAAGGAGAAAATCACGGGTGCTCCCTCCCTGGAGTGCGCCGAGGAGATCCTCTTACATCTGGAGGAAACGGATGAAAATTTCCACAAGTAAAATCCCTTTTGATGTCTTAAGCAAACAAATCAGCTGATCCAGAAGAGGTCAAAATGCAGTTGGATAAAGAATGTTATAAGATTGTTGTCAAAACAGCTTCCAAGTTGGAGGTTTACGTTTTCGTTTATTTACTCAGATACCGAATTTATTTTTTATTCTTATTTTCCAAACTTTGCATCCCTTGTGTTTTTTAATGACGTGACCGACATATCCTAATTATATTTTTTTCTCCTGGGCAGCATAGTAAATTATTGTAAATTATTCTTGTTCGCTTAAGAATAGTTATATTAGAAGTGATTTCTGTCACTATACCTCTAAAGCTTTGAGTTCACAAGATCCGTGTTTCATTGCTGATCTGATATTTCAGTGGCTGCACCAATTTTGGCTTCTGAGCACTGCAGGAATACGCGATAGATTAATTTCTTGTGGAATAGCTTTGTTGTTGTTTGTTTACTCTTTGCGACCCCATACAGTGTAGCCCACAAGGCTTTCCTGTCCATGGTTCCCCAGGCAAGACTGCTGGAGTTGGTTGCGCTTTCCCTCACGGTATCTTCCCAACCCAGGGATTGAACCTGCGTCTTCTGTTTGACAGGCGGATTCTTTACCACTCAGCCACCAGGGAAGCTCACAGGATATGGAAAGTTCCTAGCAAGGGAGAAGGCGCATCCTCAGAAGTCTGTGCTACATGTCAGGGATATGAGGGATTTAGAGAAGGTACAGCGTGCTCTGGGTTGGGAGCAGTAGGTAGGAAGTTTAATGAGAGAGATATCATTTGAGATAAATCTTCACATGTGTGTTTCTTTAGAGATGTGGATTTTTTCTTTTGATTTGATTCATATGTATAATTTAAGCCTTTCCAATGAAAATTTACCTCCAGGTGTCTCAATTTATTATTAGTAGTGATATTTTTAATTCAATTTGCTCTCAAGAGGATGACATTTAACATTTTTCTTGTTATGTTAGCTTTACTGACTTTTGGGTGCTCTGAAATTCTTATCTGGAATTCCTACCTGCTTTTATGTGGGCATCAGGGCATCCTTGAGCCCTTTTAATATTCTGTGCAAAAGTTTGTGTTTATTTGCAATTTTTTGGAGGAGAACATTACAGTTTTCTCCCGATTCTCAAGGAAGTTTTAAGAAGTGTGGGAGGAGTTTTTTGTTAATTAGTATTTCTGGTTATACATATGGTTTATTTTGTATTTCCATGATTTTTTATTTCTTCATTAAATCCACTACTGATAGTTGATATTGCGTGATAAAATTCTTTGTTTTGGAGAAAGCAGAGACCAGCTTATATTGGTTAGCTATTGATTCATTACTTAAACAGAAGAATATAGGAAAATTGCAACTTTATCAAACTCAGATTTGGTCGTTAATGTCTTTTATACTCATGTAATACTGATTTGGAGAAGGCAATGGCAAACTACTCCAGTACTCTTGCCTGGAGAATCCCAGGGATGGCAGAGCCTGGTGGGCTGCCGTCTATGGGGTTGCACAGAGGCGGACACGACTGAAGTGAGTTAGCAGCAGCAGCAGAAATACTGATTTGCCTCAAAGAGAACCACATCAAGCATTACATTTGGGGTTTAATTTCTGTTTTTTAGTTCACACGCAAATACTTCTTTAAAATGTTTTTATATTATTGAGTTTTTGTTAGGATCATATTCTGGGAATTTGTCTATTTAATCTAGATTTTCAAACTTATCTGTATAAGGGTTTTTGTTAATATTCTAATGTTGTTGACATTTAGTTGCTAAGTCATGTCTGACTGTTCTGAGACCCCATGTACTGTAGCCCACCAGGCTTCTGGGTCTGTGGGATTTCCTAGGCAAGAATACTGGAGTGGGTTGCCATTTCCTTCTCCAGGGATCTTCCCAACCAGGGATGGAACCCATGTCTCTTGCATTGCAGGTGAATTCTTTACCATTGAAACACCAGGGAAGCCCCTAATGTCCTATTACTTTTTTGAAACATAAATGTCCCATTTTTTATTCTTTTTTTACAATTTGTGTCTTTCCTCTTTTGTTCTTCATCCCTTATGCTAGAGGTTTATCAACTCTATTAGTCTTTTCAAAGAACTAGCTGTTAGCTTTGATTTTCCTTTCTATTATGTATTTATTTTACAGTTTGTAAAATTTCTGCTTTTTTTTCCCTTCCTGGGAAACTTTAAAATTTGTGATGAATATTTAGCTTCTTTTTTTTTTATGGTCAATTGGATTTTTTAATTTTTTTTTCCCATTTATTTTTATTAGTTGGAGGCTAATTACTTTACAATATTATAGTGGTTTTTGCCATACATTGACATGAATATTTAGCTCCTTTGTTTGCAGCTTTCCTTCTTTTTTTTTTTAATGTAAGCATTTAAGGCTACACATTTGCCTATAAGGATTGCTTTAGCTGTGTCAGTTTTTAAATGCTTTTCAAGTTAAAATTGAATCATTATGGTTCTTCTCAGCAGTGCAATTACTATTGTAATAATGTCAATTCATCTTCAGCAGTTTATTAGATAGATTTAATGCCTGCTGGTTAACTTGCATCATCAAGGTTTACTATTTGATTTACTTGTGGCCAACCTGGAAAAACCCAGGCACAATCAAATCATAACAAGTTTGTAGTCTTAAAAGTACAATTTATAATTCTAAAAGTAGTTTGAGTCATTTGTAGTCTTCTTAAAAGTACAGATAACAGAATTCACGTGTTAGCTGCACTAGCCTAAGATCTGTGTCTTAGGAGGAAGGAAGTCCTTATAGAAGCAAAGAGGAGGAGATGCTTGTGTTTAGTGTTTTCACAGCATCGTGCAATCTTAGAGGTTGATGAGATCCTGTCAGTCCAGGTACTCATACCTTGATTTGTTTTTCTACTCACTGACAAACTCTCCTTGAACTTTAAATGTCCTTGAGACACTTAGGTATATGTTGCCACCCAAAGTGTTTCATATTGTATATCAGAATTATGTCATCCCATCTCCACTATCAGAACATTAGTTCCTTAAATCTGCCTGATGTTGTCCTGATGTATTAGCAAGAAGAATAATCTTATTAAATAGATTAACAGGGGAAACCCGTATCTCTAGGCTATTAGCATTTTTGTAAGATCACTGTTAAGAGAATTGAGTCCATGAATGATGGAATTTCAGGTAGTATAATAAAGTGACAAGGGGAAAATGCAGTCATTTGAGAAGTCATTGTATAGGCAGAACAGCCTTACTGAGGATTTGCTCCATATGCAGCTGCCCTAATCTATGCTTTCCATAGCCTTTAAAAAACTTTTAACCCAAAACTGTACATTTTCTCTGAAAGATCCAGGCTTCCTTTCTTTTCTTTGAAACTGGCAGCTAGGATTTGAGCCTTGCAGGAGAGGAGAATGGTAGGTAAGAAGACATTGTTTTCATTATGCGTGTATGTATTGTATAAATTTTTACACTCAGATTGACCTCCTATTAAAAAAAAAATCCCTGGTTTTCAGTCTTGACTACAGTAGGATTGATTGGAGTTCATTAAAAAAAATACTGTTGATGAACCTTAACCATAAATGTATCAAAATTTCCAGGGAGTTTGGTAGAGGGGGAATGGTGGAGGACTGGCCTAGGTATTTTTCATAAAAGCTCTCTCAATTCAGTTCAGTCACTCAATCATGTCCAACTCTTTGTGACCTCATGAACTGCAGCATGCCAGGCCTCCCTGTCCATCACCAACTCCCAGAATTTACTAAAACTCATGTCCATTGAGTCAGTGATGTCATCCAACCACCTCACCCTCTGTCATCCCCTTCTCCTCCCCGCTTCAATCTTTCCCAGCATCAGAGTCTTTTCAAATGAGTCAGTTCTTTGCATCAGGTGGTCAAAGTATTGGAGTTTCAGCTTCAACATCAGTCCTTCCAGTGAATATTCAGGACTGATTTCCTTTAGGATGGACTGGTTGGATCTCCTTGCAGTCCAAGGGACTCTCAAGAGTCTTCTCCAACAGCACAGCTCAAAAGCATCAATTCTTTAGCGCTCAGCTTTCTTTATAGTTCAACTCTCCCGTCAATACATGACTACTGGAAAAACCATATCTTTGACTAGATGGACCTTTGTTGGCAAAGTAATGTCTCTGTTTTTTAATATGCTGTCTAGGTTGGTCATAACTTTTCTTCCAAAGAGTGGGTCTTTTAATTTCCTGGCTGCAGTCACCATCTGCAGTGATTTTGGAGCCCAAGAAAATAAAGTCTGTCACTGTTTCCATTGCTTCCCCATCTATTTGCTGTGAAGTGATGGGACCAGATGCCATGATCTTAGTTTTCTGAATGGTGAGCTTTAAGCCAACTTTTTCACTCTCCTCTTTCACTTTCATCAAGAGGCTCTTTATTTCTTCTTCTCTTTCTGCCCTAAGGGTGGTGTCATCTGCATATCTGAGATTATTGACATTTCTCCCGGCATTCTTGATTCCAGCTTGTGCTTCATCCAACCCAGCATTTCTCATGATGTACTCTGCATATAAAAGTTAAATAAGCAGGGTGATAATATACAGCTTTGACGTACTCCTTTTCCTATTGGGAACCAGTTTGTTGTTCCATGTCCAGTTCTAACTGTTGCTTCCTGACCTGCATACAGGCAGGTCAGGTGGTGTGGTATTCCCATCTCTTTAAAAGCTCTGTAGGTGATTCTAATATACAGCCAGGGTTGAGAACCTCAGAGTTAGATCATGCATGCATACTAAGTTGCTTTAGCTGTGTCCAACTCTTTGTGACCCTCTGGGCTATAGCCCACCAGGCTCCAATGTCCATGGGATTCTCCATGCAAGAATACTTGAGTGGGTTTCCATGCCCTCCTCTAGGGGATCTTCCCAACCCAGGGATCAAACCCACATCTCTTATGTCTCCTGCATTGGCAAGTGGATTCTTTACCCCTAGTGCCACCTGGGGAGCCTGAGTTAGAGTTTACTTACTTGCATTTCAGTGAGAACTGCTCACTTAGTTAGCTCTCTATAAAATAATTGGCAACCCTCATGATCGTAGCAGTCTCTAATATAGGTGTTCATCTTTGTGGCCCTCTAATCTGGCATATTTTTAGTGTGATACAGAAGGAACACAATATTTATTGAATTGGCTTTATTTTTGGTTTTACAGAAGAATCTACCAATGACTTTCTAAATTAGTGAACTCTAGTGTGTTTAAGTGATTACTTCAGGAAAACATCTATTATGTAGAGTGTTATCCCTGCATAGAGAAATCGCTAAGAATTGTATGTGTGCTTCAATAATTAATTATGCATTTAGTAACTGTTCATCATGATTCAGGTAAAGTCCAGGTAGCCCAGTGTTAAAGAATCAGCTTGCCAATGAAGGAGATACAGGAGTTTGATCCCTGGGTTGGGAAGATCCCCTGGAGAAGAGCATGGCAACCCACTCCAGTAGTCTTGCCTAGAGAATCCCATGAACAGAGGAGCCTGGAAGGCTACAGTCCATGGGGTCACAAAGAGTCGGACACAATTTAAGTGACTTAGCATGCAGCAGGTACACCAGAAACTTAACACAACGTTGTAGGAATTTGCTGATCGAAGCTCCAAGAAATTTAGGCTAGTTTAAAAGCTAGCTGAGTACAGAATCTGTCTAGATCAGTTATTCTCAAATAACAGTCCTAGGACCAGCAGCTTTGGCATTTGCATCAGAATCACCTGGGAACTCATTAGAAATGTGAATTCCTGTGCCCACAGTGTACCTGAATTGAGGCTCTGAGAGTGGAGCCCAACAATTTGTGGTTTAATAAGCCCTTCAGGTGATTCTTATTCATGTTATACTTTAAGAACCACTGATTTATAGGATGACTTACGAGGGCCATTGTAATTATTTAGCTACAGTTACAAAAATATGTACATTAATCTGTAGTGGGAAAGGAAAGTTATAGAGGAAGAATTTACAGAAGTATAGCATTGCTAACTAGTTAGATCTGAGATGTAATGGAGAAGATTGTTTGAGGCTATACACAGGTATCCGATTGAAGGACGGTACCATTAACAAAGATATGTCAGAGGAGAACATGGCTTGCAGCCGGTGGATAGGATGAAAGATTTGGTATAGGTTGTGCTGATTGATATGGTGATAAAACAAAGTAGTCTTGTCCAATAGGCAGTTAATGTACTGGCTTACCTCAGAGATGTTGTATGTTTGGTTCCAGACCACTGAAATGAAGCAAGTATTACAGTAAGACGAGTCATAGGATTTTTTTGGGTGTTTCCTTTTTTCATATAAAGGCCATGTTTGCACCACACTGTAGCCTATTAACTGCGCTGTAAAGTTATGAAAAAAAAATACATACCTTAATTTAAAAATATATTATTGCTAGAAGTACTGTCATCTGAGCCTTTAGCAAGTTGTAGTAGTAAAATCAAAGGTCTCTGTTGACAGGTTGCCATAACAAATATAATAATGATGAAAAAGTTTAAAATACTGTGAGAATTACCAAAATGTGACAGAGACACAAAGTGAGTAAATGCTCTTGCTGCTGATAGACTTGCTCTGACACAGGGTTGCCACAGATCTTCAGTCTGTTAAAAACTCAAATATCTGTGAAGTGCAGTAAGGTGCAGTAAAATGGGGTGTGCCTGTATAGTAACGGGTGTGCCTTTATTCTGGGGAGACATTTTGGCTGAAGGAAGAGCTGAAGAAATCAGTCACCTGTTTGTGTTGAATCTGAAATTGAAGCCTTGGGAGTGAAGAATATCCTTTTTTAGGTTTCTTGTCTAGGAATGAAGTAGACATGATTGTTTCCAAATTTCAGATGAGAAAACAGATTTGTTCCAGATCACTTCAGCTAGAGTTTACCAGCTCTTTTGACTCTTAGCTTGTAATTTTTCTGTAATACAGCTTGTTTCATAATAAATATCTCTTCTTGTCTTTTGGGGCCTGAACTGTCTATGGCAGGGCTGCCACTTACACTTCTGAAGCAGACGTGGAGATTTCAGGAAGCAGCAATGTGTTCAGAGCTGAGGGGAAATGGGCAGGGCAGGAAATCTCAGTCAAAAGTAGTTAAAATTGAAAATGAGATCCCTTGGCTACGTGGGTAAGATGGCTGTTCCTTAGCAGACGTACAATCACTTCATAAATATTAAACTGAAGACTGTATCCTGGGTACTATGATGGACTTACATTGACGAAAATTATTCAGGCTCTCCTTGAGCTTCTGTGCTACGTATTATATGCAAGGCTCTTTGTACAGGGATATATACAAACTACAAGTCTTGAACATAGTGGCATTTACAAAATGACCTGTCCTAAATTATCTTTGTCATTTAAGAGACCAAAAAAGCTTTTTAAACCATTTTAAATCATGATACTAATTACATTCATTATTCTTTACTTTTTTTTTAAACCATGCAACAATGTCTTTTATTATGTTTGAGTTTTTAAAATTATTTTTTCTATATCTCCATACATAGGCAAAAAAAAAATTGTTAAACATATTAGAACTTGCAAACCTAATCATTGCATAGAGAAGGCAAAATTATCCCTATAGCATGCTTAACCAGGAGGCCAGTTCATCGGCCGACCTCCAAGAACATCGAGATGAACATGATAGACAGACTGGCCCCCATCTGAACCTTCATTCACCACCGTTCGATAGCCCTTCTTCAGGCCCAGATCAGCAGCACATTTCTTGCCAACAATTATCAAATGCCCAAGAAAACTTTCATCATCATCTTCTGCTGCAGAAATCTGGGATATATGTTTCTTGGGAATCACCAGAAAATGTGTTGGTGCTTGAGGGGAAATGTCATGGAAAGCAAGACACTGGTCATCCTCATAAATGATTTTGGCTGGGATTTCCTTGTGAATGATCTTCCTGAAGATCGTGTCGCCGCCAGGCCCGGCGACCTGTGCCTTGGCGATCTCATATGCCATCTCTGCCTCCTTCCCGAGCAGTCGGCCGGGGCTGCTCTTTACTTTTAGTAAATGTGTTTCATAAAATAATTACTGACTTTTGGAACTCTTGCCCTCTCATATTTGCTATATTGTTGTGAGTTAGCAAATGGATTTTAATGTTGGCATCAGCCTAAGAGCATGAAGGAAAATGTCCAGTGTGTTGGATTTTCTGAGATACTCCTTTTTGTGAACATAATCAGACAAAAGCTGATTAGGTGAAATTTAGGTCAGTTCAAGATGTACACAGTTACCAAATGTACAAAAAACCTCTGATGATTGGAGCTTAACGTTTTCCTATTTAATTCTTTTATAATTATTGTTATTCTAATGTGGTTTTCTTCATCAACTTGAACAATTATAAAAGCATCTAACAACTGCTTTCCCTGTGCTTAAGCATCGCATGCAAACTATAGCAAAGTATGGAACGGTCCTAACCCGTTAAAGTTTGTGTTGGTCCCGAAGTGTGCTATCCACCATTGTCATTTTTAAATGTGAATTTTGCCAATTTTCTCAGGAAAAGAAAACAACAAAATTTTAGATTAGCTGAATGATTTGGGATGAATAATTTAATCCTAGAGTAAGGTAAGAAATCTAATTATGTTACAGATCTTTTCTGTGCTAACATTTTTTCTGGGTATGGTTGATAGATGAATTCATGATATTTACTGCATTTATTTTTCAAATATTTATTTCAGCTATGAATTTGTGAAGTACCTTAGACAGTATATATGCAACACTTTGGGGTCTATGATTGAAGAAGAAATGGAAAAATGGACATCTGATCAGAACCAGGGTGAGGAATTTGGCTATGACACAGTTGTACAGCATGTTACTAAAAGAACTCAGGAATCTAAAGAGTGAGTATGTCCACAATAGTATTTTAAAGTAGTTTTTTTCTCAACAGGGTTCCTTGAAAGCACCCTCAGCCCATGTCTCCTGCAGTTTCTTTTTCTCCTAGCTGCCAGAATGATTCTTTAAAGCAATGAGTCAGATCATGCCACTCTTCCACTCCGCTTTAAGTAAAATAAGGATGGCTTGACCAGTCGATCTGATAGGCTAAATGGCTGCTAAGTGACTGCCAGGCAGGACTGGATAAAGGGATGGCTCACGTGCTGAGCAGGGCTGAGAGATTTTATCACCTCTTCAGAACTGCACACAGTTTAAAACTTACTGTTCATTTCTGGCATTTCCCATTTAATAACTGAAACTGTGAAAAGTGAAACCATAGGTAAGGGAAACCCTCTTTACTATAATTCCTAATAGTCTGTTTCTGGAAATATCATTAAATATTCTAAAAAGAGGACTAAAACTCTTAGTCAGAAAATGAAAACTTTTTAATGCTAAAAGCAAAGTTTTGCATGGGATATTTAGGATATCTAAATATTACTAAAAAAGTATTTAGTAATTACTTTTTATCTCTGGTTAAAACATTTAATTTTCCTACATTTGAGTTCACTCATGTGTAAAATTAATATAATAATAATTACCTCACAAAGATCTTAAATGTCTTAATGAATGTCCTTTGTGAACAATGGATGAAAGATTTTAAGTTGTGCAGAGTGTTACTTTCTTTTTTGTGTGTGTGCGTGTGTTTCTTCAGAAACTACTTAGGGCTAATGTAATAGTACAGTTATTAAAAAAATTTTTACTGTAATAATTCAAATTGCTTTCTTAATTAAACATTTTGGTATCTGTTTTTTAAATAGAGGTATTTGCACATAAAACAATTCATTTGTAAGATCTATCACGTTAATATAATCTCGTATATATAAGTGGAAGTACTCACAGTGTTTATTTTCATTGTTAATTGGTTTGGTTTTTTCACTACCTCTTAGAGCATTTTCTTTTTTAATTTCTTGGACTATGAAGGAATCTTCTCAGTGGTGTCCATATTCTGTCCTAGTCTTTTTCAAACCTACAGATGCTACTGAGTTCCAGTTTGTTTAGCTATTGATATTGAGGGTCTTACTCTATAGTTTTTTTGGGTTTTTTTTTTTGTTTGTTTTTTATTCTGTCTTCCTTTAGCTAGTTTGCTTATATGCCTTGCAGAAGAATTCATGTTTGTGTGTTTTCAAGAAATTTATATTTTCTGGAGAAAATATGTCTAAAATGAAACTTTATGGATTTTAATTACCCTTACACTGTAAGTTATTGAGATTTACTTTTTTTTTTACTTTATTTTTTTTAAAATTTATTTATTTTTTTCATTTATTTTTATTAGTTGAAGGCTAATTACTTTACAGTATTGTAGTGGTTTTTGTCATACATTGACATGAATCAGCCATGGAGTTACATGTATTCCCCATCCTGATCCCCCCCCCCCACCTCTCTCTCCACCCGATCCCTCTGGGTCTTCCCAGTGCACCAGGTCCGAGCACTTGTCTCATGCATCCCACCTGGGCTGGTGATCTGTTTCACTATAGATAATATACATGCTGTTCTTTCGAAACATCCCACCCTCGCCTTCTCCCACAGAGTCCAAAAGTCTGTTCTGTACATACTTTTATATTCCTTTATTAAATCAATATGTTGCAGGCTTTTTAAAAAAAAAGTTTAATTTATTTTTGACTACACTGGATCTTTGCTGCACTCAAGCTTTCTCTAGTTGCAGGAAGCCAGGGGCTACTACTCTTTGTTGTGGTGCTTGGGCTTCTCCTTGCAGTGGCTTCTCTTGTTGCAAATAGACTTCAGTAGTTGCAGCTCGTGGGCCCAGTAGTTGCTGCCTGTGGACTCCGCAGCACAGGTTTGGTAGTTGTGGCACATGGGCTTAGCTGCCCTGTGGCATGTGGCATCCTCCTGAACCAGGGATCGAACCTGTGTTCCCTGCATTAGCAAGCAGACCTTATCAACTGTGCCACCAGGGAAGTCCCACTCTACTGTAAGTTTTAAGGAGACAGTTTATGTTGTTCACATGGCTATACCTAACTGGAACAGAGTCTGGGGAGTGTAGGTTACTCCTCCGCCCAGCTATATTTCCCAGTTCCTGTGGAAAGGGAGCGCAGCTGTGGTGGATAGCTATTGATTGCTACCAGGACATTGTTACACTTCCCTGTTTCTTGGTGCTTGGAATGTGTTAAGGAGGAAGCTGGGGCCTCCTAACTCAGTTCCTATATGTACTTCATTAGTTAGTCTAAAGAGTGTCTTAGAATTCAATTTCTTCTTGCCTTTTTAAAAAAAATTATTTTATATTGGATTATAGTTGATTAACAGTGTTGGGTTATTCTTCTTGCTCTTTATAAACTTTTAAACCTGCATTTTCCCTGGGCTGCTTCTCACTTCTATAGTAGTTCTTTTCTGTATGTGTTTTCCCTCTGTATTGTTCCTATTCTTATTTTCTTACAATATTTTTGTATTTTCTCATAATTTCTGAGACTTTAAAAATATACACATGTATAGCTATATGTATATTCTATTTATAGTTATATAATGTGTAAATTATACATTATTAAATAGCATGATTAAATATGTGATATATAAGTTACATATAGAAATCATGTATTTGATGCTGTATAATGTATATAATATATAATTTAAAATATATTTTAAAATTTCTTTAAACTTTAAAATCTCAGGCTACTATTTTTATCCAAATCCCCCAGCATGATTTTATTACTTCTATGGGAGAGTACCTTACCTATCCTATCTTAGATTTATGTAGTTAATATGACCCACTAACCAGGATATTAAGAAAGGGAAGTTTCTGTGCTTATTTTCTAATGTATTTTCATTATTATAATGATAAGCAATGGACATATGTTTTATCATGCTCTATATTTACAAAGAACTTTCAGATATATGCTCTTATTTATTTCTTGCTATGGCCATGTGACTAGATTAGCTTGATTTTTTTTTTTTTTTTGAATTTAAAGCTCTAAGTGGCTTTATTCAATGATTGATGAATTGGGCAGCATCCCATCTAGTAAATAGAACAACGCTCCTAGATTGTATTTTTTTATTTTCATTTTTTGGTTGCATTGAGCCTTTGTTGCTGCACCTGGGCTTTCTTTAGTTGCGGTGAGTGGGGGCTACTCTTTGTTGCAGTGTGCTTCCCATTGAGGTTGCTTCTGTTGTTGTGGAGTACAGGCTCTGGGCTCATGGGCTTCAGTAGTTGTGGCGTAGGGGCTCATTAGTTGGTGGCTCATGGCCTTAGAACATGCAGGCTTCAGTAGTACATGGGTTCAGTAGTTGCAGCTTGCAGGCTCCAAGTTGTGGTGCATGGTCTTTGTTGCTCTGCAGCATGTGGAATTCTCCAGGACCAGTGATTGAACCCGTGTCTTCTGCATCGGGAGGAGGATTCCTATCCCCTGCACCACTAGGGAAGTCCTAGATTATTTTCTTTTTCTTCATGTATAGTTGAGAAAAAAGAGACTTATTTATAATGATAGAGCTTGTAGGTAAAGTAGTGAGGACTCCAATCCAAGTTTTCTGATTTCAAATTTAGTATTTTATTTACTTTAACATCTGAGCCACCAGGGAAGCCCATTTTATTCACTATCTTTATTTAAATATTTTTGCCTTTTTCCTTTTATTTTTTGCCTTTTTAAGTATAGAAATTTCAGTAGTACACATCTCATATATCTCATTTGTAAAATAAAGGGTAGGCAAGATTATTTTTATATTTCCATCTAGCTCTAAAATTCTACCTGTAGGGTTTTGGAGGATCTTAATTTAATGTTAGTATGGGTGCTTGAGAGTTTGCACTTAATAAATGGAGAAATTTATTACAAGTTTTTAAAAAATATATATAGAGAGAGATAAACCCAGAGAGCTAAAATGGACCTTAGAAATTATCCAGTTCAAAATTTTACTAATTTCAGGAATCCTTTTCCTAATATCTCTGATAGTGGTTTCTCTATTTGAAAGAATCCATTGATATTTTAATTCTTATTTGGTTCTCAGTTGTGGTGATGGATGCCTATCGATACAATTTATAGGCAGGTAAGAAGGGAAGGAAAAAATAGAGGAAGGGAGAATAGAGAAAGAGAAATTTTAAAAAGGAGTCAAAGTGTCATGTAGTATAGGCTGGGTTTTGGTAGTTGGATATTAGCAGTTGACTTTGTTGCTAATTACTGGAGTCTGCCTTTGGAACATCTTGCCTTGGGTTCTGTTAATTTTACTGCCTTGGTTCATGTAACCAGATGGAAAAACTTGGGAAATAACATATTTTAAATTTCCTATTAATTATTTTCCTGTTGTGTGAATTCTGTTATGTCATTTGTTCTTTCAGAAAAACTGACTTTTGTTTTTAGGATTGTATTCTTAAAGGGACTTTACAGAAAAAAATAATCAATTTAATTTAGTTGAATGTTTTAATTTGTGGTAATAGTCTTTCTCTTACAAAGATTGCTTTGGATTTAAAGATACAAAGAGATGATTCATTCTCTGAAGAACATCATGATGATAGTGGTGGAATCTATGATTAACAAGTTTGAAGAAGATGAAATACGAAGTCAAGAGAGGCAGAAAAAAATCCAAAAGGAGAAAAGCAGTAGTTATTGCACAGACAATTGCTCTGATAGTGACTCGTCCTTCAATCAGGTGTGTTGTTTAATTCTGCCTTTATGTCTTGAAATAGTGTTTAATAATCATTAGCTTCAATGCATTCTTTATTAGCCAGATTTTTTTTCTTACTTTCTAGTTTTAAGATTCAGAAGAATAAGCAATAACAATGTGATATTAAACACTTAGTTCATGAAATAATATCTTCTAGAATTATATGTTCAGCAAATTATATCTGAACAGTTGTTAATGAGATGAGGAAATAAACTGGTAGATTTTGGATAAAAAAATAATGAAACAATCTGCTTAATATTTAGTTAAACAAAAGATCTTATTCCCAATTAATCCTTATTATTCAAATTTTAACTGCACTATAGATGAGATATGGAGATAAAACATTTCCCTTATCTTCTGGAGATGAAAGTTGCTATGAATTGTTAGTTTTAAAATGTAAGCTTTTTATTTATGTCCAAAGATTTGAGGCTTTATATTTTATCTTTCCCATTTATTGGAATCCTTGTCATTTGGCTACAACAGAGCTAGGAGTCCAGTGTCTAGATTAGTCCTAATAGAAAACAAAGGAGACTAGTTGGAGTAGGGCCCATGAATGTACCATAAATTTCCATACAGAAATTTTCAGGCCAAGTGGAGTCTGTTTGACCTTCGTATGAATCCCATCTGATATTTTTAGTGAAACATTTTTACCTAATTAGTTCTAATATAGAGACATAACTGTAACATAGATGCTAAGTGCATACCAAAAAGGAATATGGGAAGTTTGGGTGAGACGTGAAATATATATGTATGTTAATCACAGTTAAGACTACACTTTTGAAGGAAAAATGGCTTTGGAATTAGTCAAGGCAGAATGTAAAAGTTATCACTGCATTATTTAGCAGGAAATATTGTGCTGAGTTTTAAATTTTATAAGTCCAGTTAATTATCTGATGTGATGGAGGAAGTGACAAAGGTTGTGAATTTTCTTCATGTTGTGGCTATTAATCATCCCTTGTTGATGTACTCTTTGGAAGAAGAGTATGCTATAGAGATTTTAGTTCAGTTTAATGCAATCAGATGGCTTATTCAGTAGGTTTACTGAACTGCTATTTTTCAAGGAGATTCTGGAAAGGAAAGGTACAGAAACACCTAACTTTAGAACTCTGAGGACTCGTAAGATTATACTTTCTTAGTTATTCAGTTCAGTTCAATTCAGTCGCTCAGTCGTGTCTGACTCTGCAACGCCGTGAACCACAGCACACCAGGCCTCCCTCTCCATCACCAACTCCTGGAGTTCACCCAAACACATGTCCATTGAGTCAGTGATCCCAGCCAACCATCTCATCCTCTGTCATCCCCTTCTCCTGCCCTCAATAATTCCCAGCATCAGGCTCTTTTCAAATGAGTCAGTTCTTCGCATCAGGTGGCCAAAGTATTGGAGTTTCAGCTTCAACATCAGTCCTTCCAGTGAATGTTCAGGACTGATCTCCTTTAGGATGGACAGATTGGCTCTCCTTACAGTCCAAGGGACTCTCAAGAGTCTTCTCCAACACCACAGTTCAAAAGCATCAATTCTTCTGCACTCAGCTTTCTTTATAGTCCAACTCTCACATCCATACATGACTACTGGAAAAACCATAGCCTTGACTAGATAGACCTTTGTTGACAAAGTAATGTCTCTGCTTTTTAATATGCTGTCTAGGTTGGTCGTAACTTTACTTCCAAGGAGTAAGCGTCTTAATTTCATGGCTGCAGTCACCATCTGCAGTGATTTTGGAGCCCCCAAAAATAGTCAGCCACTGTTTCTACTGTTTCCCCCTCTATTTGCCATGAAGTGATGGGACCAGATGCCATAATGTTAGTTTTCTGAATGTTAGGCTTTAAGCCAACTTTTTCACTCTCCTCTTTCACTTTTATCAAGAGGCTCTTTAGTTCTTCTTCACTTTCTGCCATAAGGGTGGTGTCATCTGCATATCTGAGGTTATTGATATTTCTCCTGGTGATTTTCATTCAAGCTTGTGCTTCTTCCAGCCTGGCATCTCATGATGTACTCTGCATATAAATTAACTAAGCAGGGTGACAATATACATTCTTGACATACTCCTTTTCCTATTTGGAACCAGTCTGTTTTTCCATGTCCAGTTCTAACTGTTGCTTCCTGACCTGCATACAGGTTTCTCAAGAGGCAGGTTAGATGGTCTGGTATGCCCATCTCTTTCAGAATTTTCCACAGTTTATTGTGATCCACACAGTCAAAGGCTTTGGCATAGTCAATAAAGCAGAAACATATTTTTCTGGAACTCTCTTGCTTTTTTGATGATCCAATGGATGTTGGCAATTTGATCTCTGGTTCCCCTGCCTTTTCTAAAACCAGCTTGAACATCTGGAAGTTCACGGTTTATGTATTGCTGAAGACTGGCTTGGAGAATTTTGAGCATTACTTTACTAGCGTGTGAGATGAGTGCAATTGTGCCGTAGTTTGAGCATTCTTTGGCATTGCCTTTCTTTGGGATTGCAATGAAAACTGCCCTTTTCCAGTCCTGTGGCCACTGCTGAGTTTTCCAAATTTGCTGGTATACTGAGTGCAGCACTTTCACAGCATCATCTTTTAGGATTTGAAATAACTCACCTGGAATTCCATCGCCTCCACTAGCTTTGTTAGTAGTGATGCTTCCTAAGGCCCACTTGACTTCACATTCCACGATGCCTGACTCTCGGTGAGTGATCATACCATCATGATTATCTGGGGCATGAAAGTCTTTTTTGTACAGTTCTTCTGTGTATTCTTGCCACCTCTTCTTGATATCTTCTGCTTCTGTAAGGTCCCTACCATTTTTGTCCTTATTGTGTTCATCTTTGCATGAAATGTTCCCTTGGTATCTCTAATTTTCTTGAAGAGATCTCTAGTCTTTCCCATTCTATTGTTTTCCTCTACTTCTTTGCATTGATCTTTGCATTCTTAGTTATTACATAAATCATATGTCTACACTGAAATTATTTCCTAGATGGTGCAGTGGTAAAGAATCCACCTGCAGTGCAGGAGACACATGAGTCCATTTCGATCCCTGGGTTGGGAAGATCTCCTGAGGGAGGAAATGGCAACCCACACCAGGATTTTTGCCTGGATAGAGGAGCCTGGTGGGCTATAGTCAGTGGAGTCACAAAGAGTCAGACGTGACTGAGCACATATACACTGAAATTAAACCAGAAGAGAAAAAAGTGGAGCACGTTAATTTGTTGTAAGAAGTACAGATATTTAGATCTGAATCGGATTGATTAACTGGCAGTTAAGAGTGTTAATATCAAATGCCAAGTTATTTCTCATCATAGAATCTTAGATTTTTGAAGAAATTCAAAGCTTTGATAGAAATGGAATCATACTTTCAGAAGATGTTTTTGTTTTTTGTTTTGGTTCTTGAGAAGGATCTTACTTTAAGTTTATATGGCTTCCTTTAAAGTGCCTGCCTTATGAATATGACTTTGTTTCAGAAGGGACTAATTGAATTGAAAGTGAACTATGCCCACCACCAACACGGCATGGGATCCCTGGATCTTTGGGAAAAAAATCACATAAATGCCAGAACTGTCCTGAAAGGTCTGTTAGTGTGGCTGAGATGTTTGTGTATGCTTTTGTTTAGTGAAAAAAAGATTCTCTTGCTTTAACTGACCAAAGAGAGGCTGAATTAATATGCTCAGAATTGAAAGAGTCTCTGAAGAGTCTGAAAGAGTCTCAATCATTCATTCCATTAAATATTGGTGTTATTATTGATGCCTTCAAAATTGATTTTACTTGCACTGGGCTTTAAAAAAGCTGAATTGTTCTGTGAATAATATTTAGTCAAAATTTTGATGCTATTTTGATATTAGTAGAACACTTGTATTTTATAAATAGAATGGGTTTTATTTCATTGTTATTTTAAATATTGACTCCTAATTGTATATTGAATCATTATTTAAAAACTTTGGACATGACTTCCTTGGAGACTATTTGTGTAAGTTTTAGCATATTAAAGAATAAAGTTGGCTGATTTTTACTATAGTTGTGAGCAGAGAATTGTCAAAGGATTTGATACTGTGATTAAACATGGAAAAGTCTGCAAAATAATGCTGAAGATAGATGTATACTTTGTATGGAGAAGTTGAGTTTAAGATAACCGTCACCTGCTCTTCTTTTGTAACGTGAACCTGTATAAGGCATTTTTTTGCTTTCATGGCTACCTCTCCTTAAAGCCCATCCTTTGGTCCCTATGGCAGGCAGAATAACAACTCTTCCAAAAACATCCATGTCTTAATCCCCAGAATTTGTAAACTGTTACCTTACATAGCCCAAGGGACTTGTAAATATGATTAAATTAAGATGGGGAGATTATTCTGGATTATTCAGATGAGCCAGATGTAATCACTGGCATCCATATGAGAGAGACTCAGGAAGGTCAGAGGCAGAGAAGGTGCTGGGCAGGCTGAAGTAGATGTCAGAGTGGTTGTTGGCTTTGAAGAGGGAAGGTGGCCCATGAGCCCAGGATGCAGGCAGTCCCTAGAACCTGGAAAAGGCAAGGAAATAGATTCTCCCCAGAAGGCAGAAGGAACACAGCTCTGTGGATGTATTCTGAGTTCTAGAACTGTAAATTGGTGTTGAGAACTTCCCTGGTGGTCCAGTAGTTAGGAATCCGCCTGCCAATGCAGGGGACATGGGTTCAGTCGCTGGTCCAGGAAGATTCTACATGCAGTGGGGCAGCTAAACTCTTGTGCTGCAGCTGCTGAAGCTCACTCGCTCTAGGGTCCGTGGTCGGCGGCAAGAAAAGCCACTGCACCCCTCTGAAACTAGAGAAAGCCCACGGGTAGGAGCGAAGACCCAGCACCGTCAAAATATAAACAAATAAAAATCTGTGGCTATAGAAGGGAAAATATGGGTCACTGGGAACAACTAACAGTTAAATAAATAAATAAACTGGTGTTTTTTTAAGTCATGAAGTTTATGGTAACTTGTTACAGTAGCAGTGCCGAAACTAATATCGTCCCATTGTTACAGGTTGGGTTTGTTGTTTCTGCTTTTTACTTCCTGGAAAAGAAGCTATTACTTGGACTTTGTGTTTGAACTACCTCCTGGAAACAATTTGTACTCCATCTTGTTAGTAGGTTTTGAATCTTTCAGTAAGACTTTCCTTAAGTAGCTCTTTCCTTGTATTGGGTGTGAGGCCTTTGCCCTGAGTATGTGCTATGCTTTGCAACCTTGTGGACTGTAGCCCGCCAGCCTCCTCTGTCCATGGGATTCTCCAGGCAGAAACAATGGAGTGGGTTGCCATTCCCAGGATCTTCCAGGGAATCTTCCTGACCTAAGGATCGAACCTGCATCTCTTATGTCTCCTGCATTGGCAAGCAGGTTCTTTACCGCTGAGCTACTGGGGAAGCCCTTCCCCAGATGCACTGGATCACTTGTGTTTTTCCCTAACTTCTCAAAACAGAGTATCTTGAGTTCAGCCCCATTTTTGGCCTCTCAAAATCTTTATAGAGTTTTACAGTGCTCTTTTTGGTGAGGAATTCTGCTTTTGAGGATGTCATAGTGCTGAAGAATCACAGGGTTCTCTTGTTCAGTAGCATTGGCTAGAGCAATAGGATAACCACAGCCTGAACTGTTGTTCAGAAGTTCCTCCATCTCTAGCTATCCTTAATTGATCAGACTTTTATTATTATTATTTGCCTTAGAAAAAGATTAAAAGGCTAAAATCCTAAAAATGTAGAAAAGGAAAGGCATCTGAGACTAGAAAAAAAGAATACAGTAGTATCAATAGTGCATCTGCCTAGAGTTAAGCTTGAGACAGGTGGATTGGGAGGAGAATTGGTTAGGTGCAGGTGTGAGCTTGCTTGCTTGTTTTAAAGCAATGTCTTGAGACAATTTGATACCCGAAAAGCTAATTTCTTTAATTAACAGTGCTAATACCTTCATGAATATGTGTTCCTTTATACTGTTAAATATTAATAGGTTTTTGTTTTTATTTCTCAATGGTATCACTTTTCACATAACTTAAGTATCTAGGAAATTAAGAACTTTATCATTTGAAAATATTTTAAAAACTTGTTTTTGTTTTGAATTAATAACTTTGTTCTATATTTAAGACTTAATGAAGAGTGGGTGCATAGTTTTAAGAAGTTTTAGATGTACTATAATTTTGAAAAGCTATTTTACATGAAGCTAATTCCTTCTGAATCTTGAAAACAAGTCAGACTCTGGCTCTGCCATTTATGAACTGTGAGCTTTGGCTTCTTAATCTCTTTCTGTGTCTCAATTTTCTTAACTGTTATAGAAGAGACAGTAATAACATTTACCTTATAAAGTTGCTTTGCAGGTTTAATGTACATAAAGCATTCTGCACACATTAAACTTGCCTCATATTAAGCTCTTCTGTAAGTGTTTGCTGTTATTGTCCTAATCCTCGGTTGGTGTTTTTTTTTTTTCTTTTCCTTTTGTGAGAATAGGGAAGAAATCATTGTGCAGTTAGACATATTAAAGCCTGAGGAATAATTAAGTTTAATATTTATATATTTATTTCCCATAGACATTTGTTTCAACAACAGAACAGTTGTCTTTCTTTCACTAGTTGTATTTCAATGGTTTATACAATTTGCAAACCAAAGATTTAAAAACAGGTTTCTAGGGCAATTAATTTTGATGGATGTGTGAATTTTATACTTAGTACAGTTATTGACTAATGTGAATAATCTTCAGTTTGTGTTGAATAAAGTGAGTACATCTCTGTAAAACAACAAAAGTTACAGAATGCATCTTGTGTTCACTATCTTTAGGTATACCTTGTTTGACAGAAATGTATACAAATCTTACTTTGGCATTTAAAGACCACCTTTAATTAGTGTCTGTATGATCATGCAGTAGGACCAAAATTCATCTTAGATTCTCAGCCTGATCTACTTCTTGCCCTTTCCCCTGTAGAGTTTGCTCAGAAATTGTTTGCTTGGTTTACAATTTCATACATGTAAATATGTTTAAAAAATATTTTTCCTTTTGGAGTCATCTACCTATATTGATATCACCAACAGATCTATGTTGTGTTGCTTTAGCAACAAAGTTAGCAGATCCTGCTCCCTCAAGAATTTGTCTATTTATTTATTTCTTGACTGTGCTGTATGGCATGTGGGATCTTAGTTTTTGGACCAGGGATCAAATCCATGGTCCCTGCATTGGAAGCATGGAGTCTTAACTACCAGACCGCCCTTTTTTGGTGGGGGAGAGGGGCAGGAATTTTTAATATAACTGTTTCAGCTGTTCTAAATACTTCGGACAAATCTGTATTCAATGGAACACATTACCTGCATGCTCTAGTTAAGTCAATTATTGCAGTTAGTTGCAATGGAAATTTGCCCATCCACTGACACACAAGAACACTAGAGGAAATGTTAAATAAAGAAAACCTTTAAGGTAGGTATTCTCACTTTCCACACTTTTAGACTTATTCTGATTTCTAGTGTAATAAGTTATTTCATTGCTTATGTAACATTTTAGGAATAATTTATACTGTGTTTAAGATGACAAAGGAATCTTGTATAGTAATGCATGCGTGCTCAATTATGTCCGACTTGTTGCATCCCCATGGACTGTAGCCCATCAGGCCCCTCTGTCTGTGGGATTTCCACAGTGGGTAGCCATTTCCTACTTCAGGGAATCTTCCCGACCCAGGGATCGAAACCTGAGTCTCTTGCATCTCCTGCATTAGCAGGTGGATTCTTTACCACTGTACCACCTGGGAACCCAATATCTTATATAGGTTAGTAAGCATATTAATGAGGCCACTCCATAATGATGGCAGCTTTTATTTTTAAGTGGTTATTTTAGGTATTATTTAAATTGCTTTGGCAAGAAAAAGATTCTTTCCTTTCCCAGAACAGTTTATGGTCTACTATAAACTTTTTTCTAGATGAGAGTTTTTACTTCAGGTATTATTTGCTTAAGAGAAGGCATGAAGAAAGGTTACAGAGAAGTGCAGAAAAGAAAAGGAACAAAAAAGTTCAGTCAGCATTATAGTTATGCTTTGGGCACCATTAGTGCCTTCTTATTTATTCATGTTGTTTTATCTTTGTTTCACAGATCTCAAATTCCTGGGTGTAAGATGCTTTTTACTTTTGCATGCCTTTTGAGTCTTACAGTGTCCTGCACGTTGCAACCGCTCAGCAGATGATAACCTCCCTGTAGAGGCAGGCACACTGTCCTAGTGGGACGCTTACGCCCTCACTGAATGCCTTGGGGTCCAAACATTCTAAGTTTGCTGCCAGACCAAACCAGTGCATTCCCTTCTCTTGTTCAGAATGCATTTTGTGCTTGGAATTATATTAAAATCATTTATAATAATACCTCTAAAATGCTAATAAATGAGTGAAGGAATGTATGTCCTGTTAATTGTGTTACAGAGTTACAAATTTTGTCAAGGAAAATTACAATTGATTTTAGACCAGTTGGATCCTGGGCAACCTAAAGAGGTAAGTTTAAAGGACAACTGTCAAGTTCACTCAGATATACTTATTATATATTATAATCAATAGCAGCTGGATTATTTCTCTTCAAGATAATCCTTTAATATCATGACAGTTCTAGACTTTCATCCCTGCTAGACCTTCTAGTCTTGAAATGAAGAGTCACAGAACAAGAGATGGTCTCCTTAGAGAATTGTCACAGTTTATAAGAGGAAAGTTTTACTTCTAGTTTCAGTTTTCAAGGAGATGAAGTTATGAGCAGTTTTCCCCCAAATTGTTCCTTCACTATTGCTTTGTATGTGATAGTGATTTCTTTGAAGAAAAAAAACTTCGTTTAATGCTCTTTCTACTTTGGAAAGTATGAGCAACTTTGACACATGTATTCATTTATTTGAAAAGATTTTTTAAAAGCTTTACTGAATGTATTTCTTTATATTGTAATAATTATATAAATTAATTTTATGAAGTTTTCTTTCATTTGTCAGTGTCTGTTTCTCTTGACATAAAAAATTATAGGGTTTTTGAAGTACCTGACATCTCATACATCTTAACCATTTGGTCTCAATTTTGCAATACATTGTTTTTCTTCAACTTTTTATTTTAAACCAAATGAATAGCTATGACTTACTCTCACTGATCTTTTTTTTTCTCTCAGCATTCCGCATTCTTATTTATTTTCTAGATTTTTAGTAAATGTTTCAACAGATCAGCAATGGGACCTGACTTGATATGATAACAGTATTATTGTTTTTAAGTGGATTGTTTGGAAATCTGTACATGATCAGAAACTTTTGTTCTGAACAAGTAGTAAATTGTTAATGGAGTTTTGTCCTAAAAATTAACCGAAAAGGAGAAATTTACTTATGTTTTTAAATTCTCTCCCTAGTCCTGCTTATCCTTATCCCAAATAAAATTGCATTTAGAAGTCTTTCATATGAATATATAGACATTTAAAAACACATGTGTATTGTATCTTTCACCTAAAACTTGACATCCTGATTTGGAGTGCCTGGTATCCTAAGGTCTTAGCTTTTTGACTCTTCATGTTTTTTTTTTTCCCCTCTCACTAGACTTCAGTCAGCTGAAAAACAATCAAGTTTTGAGGAACTCACTAGTTGGAGAGTGAGAGGCAGAGAAGCTTTATTCCACTTCTGATTGGAATAGAGCTTTTTGCCACTGCTGTCTCTTGGGTCATACTGTCCTAAGTGAATTCTGATTGGATTTTAAGAATTCTGATTGGATTTCTTCTCAAAAATATTTATATGAAAATTCAGAAATTCATTTTTGCATCACATTGCTGAATGATTCCCCCCCCCCCCACCCCCCGCAGTGGTTACAAGGTCAGAAAATATGATGTAGAAGCAAAAGCAAATTAAAGTCAGTTGTTTTGTGAGAATTGTTCATATGTCTTGGAGTGGGAATGCCTTACCAGGAACATCTGGGCAGTGTTTTAGAATTAGAGTCCTCAAACTGTAGGACTGAAATTGGGTGGCCTTGGCCTGCAATAGCTTAGAGTAGGGCTTGGTTCCCAACCAGAGACTGGGCTGGGTCGTGGCGGTGAGAGCCCTAGATCCTAGCCACTAGACCAGTGGTCAGTGACAAGGGCCCTGGCCCTTCCACTTTGCCAAAAAAAATTTCCACAAAGATGGGAAGTAGTGAAGCAAGTGAAGTATTTATTAGGAAAAAGAGTATAGCACATGTGGATAGACATTTTGGCAGACTCAGAGGGAGAGTCCCTGAGTTGTGCCAACATAGCAGTTTGAATCACTTATATGGAGCATTTCTTTCAGGTTTCCTTTGACCAATCATTATGATTTGCCTGGTGTGCCGTCCATATTTGGTATATCTCAGGATTCTTGTGTATGCATGCATGTCTTAGCCAAGATGGATCCTACTGAAAAGACTTCTGGGTAGAACATCCCTTGACTTGACTCCAGTTTGGTTTCCAAGGAGCCTTTTCTGCACATTTGTGGTTGAGGAGGTCTCCTGACTGTGGGAATGAGAAATATGTGTTCTCTGCAGGGTCCAGCCTCCTCCCTTAATTTCCCTCTATTCTTGTCTTGGAGTTTCCATCAATAGAGAATGAATCTCCAGTTGCTTTACCCTGGGGGGACCCATCTGCCTCCTACCTCAGGACCATGTGTGGGGGATTGTTCTAGTGAGGAAAGTGTACCGGAGGAGACACTGGGACACTTTATTCTGGCTTTTCAGATTTGACCACCACACCTTCTCCTGTTCCCCTCAGACATGTGACCCAGAATCTCCCAGTATATTGGATGGGCCAAAAAATTTGTTTTTCTTCAAAATCACTTCAAAAACCCTAGTGAACTTTTAGTGTTTTTTAGTTTTTGCATAACATAAAATAACCTATTTTGTTTCTCTGCTAAGCAGTCTAAAAAAAATCAGTTATCAAGAAGTGTTTCATGAAAGGGCATCTGACTCTCAGTTGGCTCTTTAAAGCAATTATCCAAACTCAGCCTTTCAATGTTTGTTAAATATTTTGAGAATTGCTGTTACTTTGGTGGCTGATTATTAATAATAATTCTTTTAAAAAATTATAGGTGAGATATGAAGCCTTGCAAACATTGTGTTCAGCTCCTCCATCTGATGTCCTGAACTGTGAAAATTGGACCACTCTCTGTGAGAAGTTGACAGTGTATCTTTCAGATCCTGACCCTGTATTTAGTGTAAGGAAATGCTTACAGAAGTATAAACATTTTCTGTTTTTTCCCCTACCATTCTAGAAGCAAATGGAATATAATTTTCTTTAATAGTAGCTCAAATATTTACGGAATTTCACCTCCAACTTTTGAATTGTCAACTTTTTTTTTGGGGGGGGGAATTAGCTTACTACATCATGATTAAATTCAGGGTCTGGTTAGTATCACACTTCATTACCAAGACAGACTTTATTAGTGTGAGTTTTGTTTTTATCTTCTAAAGGGACATCTCAGTATCTGTGTCATTGTTTTTCAATTAAGAAAATTATTTTAAAAGAGTGTGTTTTTGAAAGGATTCATATGTGAAAACTTGAACTTGGAATGATTAAAATTTACTCTGAAAGATTTAAATAAGCATTTTCCTTATGTATTTAAGTGTTAGAGATTGCTTAAGTGCTTAGAAGGGCTTCCCTCCTAACTCAGTTGGTAAAGAATCTGCCTGCAGTGCAAGCGACCCAGGTTCGGTTCCTGGGTCTCAAAGATCCCCTGGAAATGGAAATGACAGCCCTCTCTAGTATTCTTGCCTGGAGAATCCCATGGACAGAGAAGCCTGGCAGGCTACAGTTCATGATTGCAAGAGTCAGACATGACTTAGCAACTAAACCACTACCACCAACTGCCTAGAAAGAGAAGTTGGGAAACTGTAAAGCTAAGACATTAATTTTACAGCAGATATAGACAATTGCAAAAATTAAGGTTGCAAAGTAGAAGAGGTAGTTATGTAAAAAATGATTCACATATGACTTCTCAGAAGCAGTATATGATGAAAAGCAAGGTTATGTTAAAAAGTGCAGTAATTATATGGGATTAAAAAAAATCTGGACTGTGTATTCCAGCATCACATTTAACTACAAACTTTTTAAAGTGCCTTTTTCTTCATAAATGATATATCAGTGAAGGAAAAAAATGTCCTTAAAATATATAAGGTTTTTTAATATAGAATTTTTTAAGGTATTGGTAAAAGATAAAGTTACCTACAGTACACATCATTCTAGATCATATGCTGGGAACACACTGAGCAAGACAGAAGCCTTTGCCTGCGTAGAACTTACATTCTAGAAGATGAGACAGTAAACAGTTCATAAAAATAAATCTCAATACCTTTTTACTACTTAAAAATACTCTTTCATCAATGAAAGTATAATTGTAGGGGTAAACAGAAGGGATTTGGAAACAAGTGATTTATTCATATATTTTGTAAGAGGGAAATGGTGTTTACTCAATCCTGGATGCAGTTCAACCATACTAACACCAGAGGGTGATGCAGACTTCTCAAAAATTCTGAAGGATTCAAGGGGGAAAGATATTTCAGGGTTACCTTTTCGCTTCAACGCATTCTAACAGGAAATACAATTGTTTAAGTTTCCCTTCTAAAGATAGAATAGTGCTCTAATAGGTTTTCTTTATTCCCATTATAAATATTGTAAAGATCATGCTGGGTCAATTTAAGTCGTTTGGTTTGGCCATTATATGCAGCAAGAGTTTGTGTGAGTACTTAAGGCAATAAAATTGGAAGAAGCAGTCACCTGAGGTGAGATGACAATAGAACCAATCATTTGAGTAGGAGACAAGGTATGATGTTCTTTTTGTCTAGAACTTATGCTTTGTCCAAATTGCTGCAACTATGAAAACGTGCTTCCCAAATTAATTAATACCCTATGTTCAGTAAGAATCTCTTGGGTTATTGCAATATATTTTTAGTCACTTGTGTATGCGTGTGTTAGTCATTCAACTGCATGTGACTCTTTGCGACCCCATGGACTATATCCCACCAGGCTACCCTGCTCATGGAGTTCTCCAGGCAAGAATATTGGAGTGAGTTGCCATTCCCTTCTCCAGGGTGTCTTCCCAACCCAGGAATTGAACCCAGGTCTCCCACATTGTGGGCAGATTCTTTACCATCTGAGCCATGTACATCTCCATGGGTAACCATTTTCTTAAATTTATTAATCTAATATTTGATATAGGCAAGGTTATTAGTGTTTTCCTCAAAGTTGAACATTTGAGGGAATTTTATTTTTTTTTAATGAGAAATTGAATTTCACTATAAGATTAATCCCATCAAAGTTGGTATAATTAAAATGATAAACTGTCATTTCTAAGTACCTGTTAGTGTCACGTGCCGACTACATCTCTTATCTCATTTAATTTTTTTACATTGTGATAGTTTCTACTTTATGTTTTAATAATGTAGAATTTTACAATATAATATTTTTCTTGGGAGTAGGTAAAATTATTGAAGTCCTAAAAGTCTAAACTTTCCATGTAAGCAATTAAAACAAAAACAGATACTGGATTTGGAAAGGAGTGTGTTTTGTTTTTTTTTTTTACATTTAGTACTCCTACTGTTTCTTTGTCTGGTACCTTTACATTGTATCAGATTATAACAAATTATATTGTTTCCTTCCTTTAGTGAACCTCACTCTGCCTCCCCACGTGTGTATCCACTGTTACCAAATTTTACAATGTTCTGCTGCATTAGATTGACTCTTAGTTTTTGTTGACTTTACTTTTTGCCAACCAACACAAGAATGTGCTGTTTTAATTACATTTCTATTGAAGTTTTTGAATGGTCATGTATTTATTAAGGTTTTTGCTATGTGAAAAAATGATACTTACAAAAATAGATGATGAAAGAATCTTGGATACAAATTTTGTTTCATTTCCATAGGACCGGATTTTAAAATTCTATGCACAGACGTTTACACTTTCACCATTACATATGACCAAGGAAATTTATACAAGCTTAGGTATGTTAATTATATCATTTTCAAAACTTTTGAAAATTTGTGCTTAAGAAAAATGGATAGGAAATAACATTTTAGAAAGCACTATAACTGAATGGCATAATAACCTTATTTTTACTTTTCCTTTTTAGCTAAATATTTGGAGTTATACTTTGTTTCCAGAGAAAATCATATTCCTACTCTTTCAACTGGCATAGACATAAGTAATCCTAATGTGACCCATTTACTTAAAAAGGTATTTACTTTCTGTAATATGCTTTTATTTCTCTTGATGTAATTCTGTATTTAAGAATGCTAACCTTTTGAGAATGGTTATACACTGTTTTATAGATTCGTCTTCTAAATGAATATCAGAAAGAGGCTCCATCTTTTTGGATTCGACACCCAGAAAAGTAAGCCCCTTAATTTATACCAGTAATAAGATTAGGAGTCTTACTGGCCATGTGTTTTCCAAGTGGCTCAGCTGTAAAAAAAATTCACCTGCCAATGCAGGAGATTGTGGGTTCGATCCCTGGGTCCAAAAGATGCCCTGGAGAAGTAAATGTAACCCACTTCGGTATTCTTGCCTGGTTACTCCCATGAAGAGAGGAACCTGGTAGGCTACAGTCCATGGGGTTGCAAAAAGAGTCAGGCACAACTTAGTGACTAACAGCAATAAAATGATCATAACAAGGTAAAAAGAGGGTGCTGCAGCCTCAGGTTCTTTCATTACTGGTCTTTGAATCTTTGATACTTTGGTGAAGTTCCTTTAATGTTCTTTAAACTTTTCCCTTTTTAATTCTAAGATTTTTAATGAGGTTGTAAGGGTAACTGGTCTAAAAAGGGAAGTTAAATTTGAACAGCCAGTGTTGAGGTAGAACATAAGTTTTTAGAGCATAGGAAATTGGGGGTGAATCTCATCTGTGCCATTTACTGAAATATTAAAAAATAAGGTTTTGAAATATTACTCATTACTTTATCATTCCATAAATAAAAAATGTCACTATTATATATATAACATTTTTTTTTCTAAAAATCACTTATTTCCCAAACTATTAGGTATATGGAAGAAATTGTGGAGAGTACCTTGTCTTTGTTATCAGTTAAGCATGATCAAAGCCATCTTGTCTCACAAAAAATTTTGGATCCGATATATTTTCTTGCCTTGGTGGATACCAAAGCTGTGTGGTTCAAAAAGTGGATGGTAAGGAAATACGGATGTTTTTCTACCTTTCTTTGCATTGCTGTATTGTTTTAAAGAATAGCTGCTGTTTGTTTACAGTGTCAAGAATTCTAATCACATTTACATGTGTTAAATCACTTAATTCTAATAACAGTTTATGACATAGGTAGTATTATTATCCTATTTTACAGATGCAGCATCTGAGGCATAGAGAAGTAACTTGCTCAGTATTCTTTACCTAGTAGGTGGTAGATTCAGAATAGGATTTTAACAGTAATTCATTTGAATCTACTAAACTGAATGACCTATTCCAAATCATGTCTTATTTTATTTTTTAATTTTTAAAATCTTTTGGCCTTGCCACTTCACATATGAGATCTTAGTTGCCTGACCAGGGATGAAACTTGTGCCCCCTGCATTGGAAGTGCAGGGTTAACTGTTGGACTGCCAGAGAAGTCTCATATCTTAATTTTAAAGCTATGAATTTTTAAAGAAGATGTGGTAAACCATAGGGTTCAATTTCATTTTTCTCTGGCTTATACATGTCTGCAAACATCTCTTCATTTACCACTTCCTGAATCTGCAGTTTAGAAAATGTGTTTAATGCCCGAATGCTGGTGACTTCCTGTGGAACTAACCCCTGCCTTAGAACTGTACTAATATTAAAAGACTGTCAAAGACTGTTGCCTCCCTCTTCTGCTGAGTAAGAGTAGTCTGTGTCTGTCAGTAGTCATAGTTATATTGGATTGTGTTCTTATATCTTTGTCCCTCTCAACATGTGTTTGTTGCAGTGGGAAGGATGGGAATGGGGCCATATCTTGCCATGCAAATCATGCAAAGCAGCAGCATGCTTCATTACTACTTAACGTGATTTGGATGTTACCTAGCTGATGCTTTGCTTTTTTTAAAAAATTTTTATCTCAACTGTATCAGTTTAGTTCAGTTGCTCATCATGTCCAACTCTTTGCGACCCCATGGACTGTAGCACGCCAGGCTTCCCTGTCCATTACCAACTCCCAGAGTTTACTCAAACTCATGTCCATTGAGTCGGTGATGCCATCCAACAATCTCATCCTCTATCAGAGCCTTCTCCTCCCGCCTTCAATGTTTTCCAGAATCAGGGTCTTTTCAAATGCGTCAGTGCTTGGCATCAGGTGGCCAAAGAATTGGAATTTCAGCTTCAGCATCAGTCCTTCCAATGAATATTCAGGACTGATTTCCGTTAGGATTGACTGATTGGATCTCCTTCCAGTCCAAGTGACTCTCAAGTGTCTTCTCCAATACCACAGTTCAAAAGCATCAATTCTCCAACACTCAGCTTTCTTTATAGTCCAACTCTCACATCCATACATGACTACTAGAAAAACCATAGCTTTGACTAGATAGATCTTTGTCAGCAAAGTAGTGTCTCTATGCTGTCTAGGTTGGTCATAGCTTTCTTTCCAAGGAGTAAGTGTCTTTTAATTTCATGGCTGCAATCACCATCTGCAGTGATTTTGGAGCCAAAAAAAAATAAAGCCTTGCTGTTTCCGTTGTCTCCCCATCTGTTTGCCATGAAGTGATGGAACCGAATGCCATGATTTTAGTTTTCTGAATGTTGAGTTTTAAACCAACTTTTTCACTCTCCTCTTTCACTTTCATCAAGAGGATCTTTAGTTCTTCTTCACTTTCTGCACATCTGAGGTTATTGATATTTCTCCCAGCAATCTTCATTCCAGCTTGTGATTCTTCCAGCCTGGCATTTCTCATGATGTACTCTGTATATAAGTTAAATAAACAGGGTGACAATATACAGCCTTGACATACTCCTGTCCTGTTTTGGAACCAGTCTGTTGTTCCATGTCCAGTTCTAATTGTTGCTTCCTGACCTGCATACAGATTTCTCAGGAGGCAGGTCAGGTGGTCTGGTATTCACATCTCTTTAAGAATTTTCCATAGTTTGTTGCAATCCACACAGTCAAAGGCTTTGGCGTAATCAATAAAGCAGAAGTAGATGTTTTTCTGGAACTCTCTTGCTTTTTTTGATGATCCAACGGATGTTGGCAATTTAATCTCTGGTTCCTCTGCCTTTTTTAAATCCAACTTGAACATCTGCAGTTCACGGTTCATGTACTGTTGAAGCCTGGCTTGGAGAATTTTGAGCATTACTTCGCTAGCGTGTGAGATGAGTGCAATTGTTTGGTAGTTTGAACATTCTTTGGCATTACCTTTCCTTGGAATTGGAATGAAAACTGACCTTTTCCAGTCCTGTGGCCACTGTTGAGTTTTCCAAATTTGCTGGTATACTGAGTGCAGCACTTTCACAGCATCATCTTTTAGGATTTGAAAGAGCTCAACTGGAATTCCTTAACTTCCACTAGCTTTGTAGTGATGGTTCCTAAGGCCCACTTGACTTCACATTCCAGGATGTCTGGCTCTAGGTGAGTGATCATACCATCATGGTTATCTGGGTCATGAAGATCTTTTTTGTATAGTTCTTCTGTGTATTGTTGCCACCTCTTCTTAATATCTTTTGCTTCTGTTAGGTCCATACCATTTCTGTCCTTAATTGTGTTCATCTTTGTATGACATGTTCCCTTGGTATCTCTAATTTTCTTGAAGAGATCTCTAGTCTTTTCCATTCTATTGTTTTCCTCTGTTTCTTTGCATTGATCACTGAGGAAGGCTTTCTTATCTCTCCTTGCTATTCTTTGGAACTCTGCATTCAAATGGAACTATCTTTCCTTTTCTCCTTTCCCTTTCACCTCTTCTCTTTTCTCAGTTACTTGTAAGGCCTCCCCAAACAACCATTTTTCCTTTTTGCATTTCTTTTTCTTGGGGATGGTCTTGATCACTGCCTCCTGTACAGTGTCACGAACCTCCATCCATAGTTCCTCAGGCACTCTATCATATCTAATTCCTTGAATGTCTTTGTTGCTTCCACTATATAATCTTAAGGGATTTGGTTTAGTTCCTACCTGAATGGTCTAGTGGTTTTCCCTCCTTTGTTCAGTTTAAGTCTGAGTTTGGCAATAAGGCATTCATTACTGGGAGCCACAGTCAGCTCCCAGTCTTATTTTTGTTGACTGTATAGAGCTTCTCCATCTTTGGCTGCGAAGAATACAATCAATCTGATTTCAGTGTTGGCCATCTGGTGATGTCCATGTCTAGAGTCTTCCTTTGTGTTGTTGGTAGAGGGCGTTTGTCATGACCAGTGTGTTCTCTTGGCAAAACTCTATTAGCCTTTGTCCTGCTTCATTCTGTACTCCAAGGCCAAATTTGCCTGTTACTCCAGGTATCTCTTAGCTTACTACTTTTACGTTCCAGTCCCCTATAATGAAAAGGACCTCATTTTTGGGTTTTGTAGGTCTTCATAGAACCGTTCAATTTAAGCTTCTTCAACATTACTGTTCGGGGCATAGACTTGGATTACTATGACATTGAATGGTTATCGTATCAACTGTATGATAATGCCCGGTTAACCAAAGCATCTGTTTGGTGCTTAACATTTACCTGACCTCCATATAGTGTATGTTTGGTAAATGCTTGCTCAACTTAATTTAGCCTGAACTCTTTGTTCTTCATGGCAAATAGATGGGGAAACAATGAAAAGAGTGACAGAGTATTTTTTTGGCCTCCAAAGTGACTGAAGATTGTGACTATAGCCATGAAATTAAAAGATACTTGCTCCTTGGAAGAAAAGTTATGACCAACCTCAATAGCGTATTAAAAAGCAGAGATATTACTTTGCCAACAAAGGTCCATCTAGTGAAAGCTGTGGTTTTTCCTGTAGTCATGTGTGGATGTGAGAGTTGGACTTAAAGAAAGCTGAGCACCATAGAATTGATGCTTTTGAACTGTGGTATTGGAGAAGACTTTTGAGAGTCCCTCAGATAGCAAGGAGATCCAACCAGTCCATCCTAAAGGAAATCAGTCCTGAATATTCATTGGAAGGACTGATGCTGAAGCTGAAACTCTAATACATTGGCTACCTGATGCAAAGAACTGACTCATTAGAAAAGACCGTGATGCTGGGAAAGATTAAAAGCAGGAAGCGAAGGGGATGACAAAGGATGAGATTGTTGGATGGCATCACTGACTCAATAGATATGAGTTTGAGTAGGCTCCAGGAGTTGGTGATGGACAGGGAGGCCTGGCGTGCTGTGGTTCATGGGGTCTCAAAGAGTCAGACACGACTGAGCTACTGAACTGAAACTGAAACTTTGTTCCTCAATCTGATATTTGACCTTTTTCTTTCTTTGATTATCAAATTATACTGCTATTATAGAACATATGCAAAATATGTAAAAGCACAAATAAAATTAAGTATCTCTAATTGTATACATGGGCATAACAACTATTGAGATTTTATTTTATGTAGTTGTATGCTTTAAAAAAGACCTAAACAGATTAATTTTAACACATGTTATTCTAAGTGCTTCTAATTAACTTTTTTCACTTAACATTTTTATTGTCAGCACTTAATTCTAAAGAGAATCAGACCCATCACAGGAAAACCAGCCAACAGAAAATTATTAAATAGCTCCCATTGTGTTCTGGTATTACTAAAATTTATCACATTCTTCACTCATCTAAGGTAAAAGTTGTCATACTTTATGTTAAGAGCCAGGCAGTAAATATTTCTGGCTTTGTAGAGTGTCCTGCCTCTGATGCAACTAATCAGTTCTCTGCCATAGCATAAAACATTCTTCACCAAATATCAGAAGGCAGCTAACTTTAACCTGAGGGTTGTGGTATGTGGACTATGGTCTAAGGGATGTACTATGAGGCTTTCTTTTCAGAACATGGTCAATAGTTTAATTGTAAGGCAGCATATTTCTCTTACTAAACCTGAAAAGTGGATTAATGATTTTTTAAAAACATTTTAAGCTACAAGGGTTAAAACACAGAAAGTGAGAGTGAAAGTCACTCAGTTGCGTATGACTCTTTGCGACCCCATGGACTATATAGTCCCTGGAATTATCCAGGCAGGAATACTAGAGTGGGTAGCCTTTCCCTTCTTCGGGGGATCTTCCCAACCCAGGGACTGAACCCAAGTCTCCTTCATTGCAGGTGGATTCTTTACCAACTGAGCCACAAGGGAAGACCCCCAAAAACAAAGGGTTTTGATTAACTCTCAATTAACGCAAACCTCATTTGATTAAATTCTATTCCCCAGAAGTTCTGATAGCTTTTACAGCATATTATTTTTAAAAGTAAGATGAAAAACTACATTAAAGGCTAATGATATTGAACCTAAGTAACATTTATGTAAAATTTCCCTTTTGTACAATGCATAAAAACATATTTTAATCTCATTTATGTTTAGTTCTAAGGAGAGTTTTTTTGGCACTTTGAATTGGTTTTAAAATATGGTTGGCAGGGAATGATTAAGCTACTGTCCCTTGAGAGCATTTCAACCTTGGCATACTTCTGTGTATGCAAACATTATAGTTCCCTCTTTGTTGTGAGAATTGCAAGTTCTCCCCTCACTCCTCCTTGCCCTCCTTTCTTAATCTTCCCTTTATGCTCTGTCATAAACTGGTAGTCAGGCATATTTTTTGGTTTTAAAATAACTTAGTATGGTAACTGGACACAACTGAAGGATAGAATCTATCCCTGGATAGATCAGGGATACTGGTCTATTAGTAAATGCTCCAGTTTTTAATATGATTTGCATTCTTGTGATTGCTATGCTTATAAATCATTGTACTTAGAAAAACCTGTTTTGCCTTGATTACAATAATTTAAGTTATTCTGTAATTTATGTTACTGTAGAGAGATGATGCAGGAAATATAGATTTTGAATGGTATAGCTTGAATATTAAATGTCATTTTCCTCCTAATTTTAGCATGCATATTATAGCAGAACTGCAGTACTAAGACTTCTAGAAAAGAAATATAAATCTCTGGTAAGTCTGTTTTTGTTCTTATCTTGAGAAATAATATCACAAGAAGATATATGATGTAATAACTTGAATGTGCAAAGTTGAGTGATAGTTAATGTTGGATAATGAAGTAATCCCCCTTTTATGTGACTTTTTAACTACCATTCTGTGAAACATAAAAGGATAAAAGTAGAGACTTAAAATGCAGTCAAGATAAGAGCTAGGAAGTATATAACTTCATAGTATTAATAAATTGAGCTGCTAACAAGCTACTTTGGTATAAGCTGTTAAGTATTATCATATAGTTTAATTCAGATCAGGTGTTTGTAGCGTTTCCTCCCCTCCCCAATTTCATTCTACAAAATTTACGCATGCTTTTGACTGAAAGTTGCATTAAAAAACTCAGAATGGTAAGTGCTTTTGTATTCGCACATTGATTCAAGTTATACTAAATACAAACTAATACTGTAAAATATATTAGTAAAATTTTCAGCTTTTAATGGTATTGGTAGAACAGTGTGTTAGAGCACTGAAAGGAATGGATTCAGCAAGTCTAGCGAATAATTGACAAATATGAAAATTGTGAAATTAAGGTTATACTGATATGACTTTCAGATAATAAATATGGTTTATGTACTTAAGTAAAATCTTGAGAACAGAAGTGAAGATAAAGATTCCTAGAATTGTGAATTTTAAGAATACTGTTGATAGGACATAATTGAAGAAAGGAAAACAAAAATTGTTTTCTGTGTGAGAATTAAAAGAATTGGGGTTCAGAAAGGAGAAGATGGAGATATTGACTATTAGAATGGGAATTTATTTGTAGAAGTAATAGGTATTTAAAAATCCTTAGAGAAACTAAAAGTCTTTCTATACTCTCTCTCATTCCATTTTTAATGGAAATTTATGCTCATGTGAGCATAAAGTGATCTTGCTAGAATAGAGAAAGAAGAAAAAACAGGAATGATTTTTTTCCTCGCATGATTTGACATACAGATATCTCACTCTTGCTGTCAGAAAGGTCCTGGTGGAAGTATTTCAAATGTTTCTTTTCTTAAAATATGTCCCTTATTTGAAAAGTGAATTATACTATAGTCAGTTTTTAGCCCACAAATATTATCAGCCTCAATATTCTACCAACTTGTTCAGATATTTTATCTCATATACATAATGAACCAAACTTGCATCTTGCATGAGATTTCATCCTAAATCTTATTTTTCTCAAAGTTTTCCTAAATTTACCAAAATATTAAAAGATATTTTTATGGTTATATTTATGGGTGTACATACATGTGTGTACACACACACACACACAGAGATTTCCCAGGTGTCTCAGTGGTAAAGAATCCACCTGCCAATGCAGGAGACACAGGTTAGATCCCTAGGTTGGGAAGATCCCCTGGAGAAGGAAATGGCTACCCACTCCAGTATTCTTGCCTGGAGAATTCCATGGACAGAGGAGCCTGGTGAACTACAGTACATGCGGTCACAAAGAGTCAGACATGACTTAGTGACTCATACTTTGGGTCAGGACTTACTCATTTGAATATTTGTCACTCATTGATATAAGTAACACAGTGGGAAGACAACAGGATTTTGGAAAAGGTTATGACTTTAGATTTGGGAGATTTGGTCATATCAAGTTTGAGATCCAGATTTCCTGGTGGGGAGATTTCATTTTATTGGTCTGAATCCTAAAGGTTGATTTAGACATAGATATGGAAGGGGGTTCCCAAAGCCCATCCCTAGATTTGATGATCTGCTGGGAGAATTTCTAGCACTCAACATGTAGTTGTACTCCCAGCTATGGTTTCTTACCAGAAAAAAAGATGCAAAACAGAGCTGGTGTAAGGATAAGGCACACTGGAGAAGATACCGAGCTTGAACTTCTGAGCCTTTTTTCCCGCAGGAAAAAAAATTAAGGACTCATCTTAATTTCTCCAGTGTCAAAGTATGACAGCTCATGTGAAATGTTGTCTACCAGAGAAACTTATTAGAGATTTAGTGCCCATTTTCTTTTTAAATCAGGGATTAATCATGTTGGCACCTTCTGCCTACTACATACCAGGGATTCCACACTCCCAGAAGGAACACATACATTCAGTGTAAAAACCACATTGTTTGTTGAGGTACAGTTTTTAGAATGGTAGGAAAAGTCCTGAAATCCAAGTTTTCAGATGATGGTCAAGGTCCGGGCTTGTAGGCGGGCCATTCTAATGATGGTAATCCTGCCTTGCTAATTCTCCTTCATGAAACAAGGCTATAAGAATGAATGAGACTAAGAAATCTATCAGATTCCTTGATTCTATCATTATGAACTCATCTCTGTCCACACAGCCTCCTTGGTTTTCCCATCTAAAGCTTAACCTTTCCTTTCCTTAGGTTCTAGCTGCTCCTGTTCTTAGACACTATTCTATCAATTATCCTTTCTCTTCTACATACTCTTAACTTCCTTTCTACTTAAGCAAGACCATATCCTTTCAACCTGAAGAATTCATTCTTGACCTAAGACCTCACCCCTATGTTTTACCCTTTTTCTGTTTCATGGCCAACCTTCTTGAAAATGAAAATTATACTATCTGCCTTTAATTTTTCAGTTCCTATTCCCTTTCCTTATAGTTAGTTCTGTTCCCCAAGCTCCCTTGAAATTGATCTTTTGAAGATCAGCAAAACCCTCTTTATTACTACATCTAGCAATTATTACTCCTTAACTCACTGGTGGCCTTTATTTTATTGAGAGTTAGAATGAGATGGTATCTACAGGAAGTATGTAGGTGCAGAGGAAAGGAAGAAGATTTGAAATCTTTGCTTGTGGAGAGTGGGAAAAGGCAGTAGAATGAAGACTATCAGAGAATTGCTGGATACAGAAGTTGGAGATCATTTTTTAAGACTGTTCTTTGTATTGAGAATTTTCTTTATCAGTTTTTAGCAATTCTGGTATCTCAGATGGAAATGAAAGCTAGATACAGGTCATGTTTTACTGGCTAAGTAGGAAGAAAAGACTCTTTAAGGCAAGAAAATTGGGGATATTGACAAGAGAATTTTTAAAGTCATGACCAGAACTTTTTCATCTTTCACTATAAAATGTAAAATACATTTGTATTTTTGTCTTAATGCTAACATTATAACAATAGTATATTTATTGATCTACAAATATTTTCCATGTTTCCTGGAATGAAGCCATAGTTAAAATGTAATTGCAGAGACTGAGCTTCAGTGGAAAGGTGCTATTCTAAATTTTCTGAATATTTTTCTTAGATATTTTCCCAACATATTTTACAGCCTTGACTAACTTCTTTAATACATGGACTTGTGGGCTTAAAATTTTAGGATTAATAAGCTGTTATTTTATTAGATAACTACAGCGGTTCAGCAGTGTGTTCAGTACTTTGAGTTGTGTGAAACCATGAAAGGTGATGAAGTTTTGGGACATTCAAAGTCTTGTGGTAAGTATTATATTTTGTTACATTTTAAAAAATGGTAAATTTTATTAATAAATAGGTTTGTAATTTATTTTTTAATATCATAATAAATTAGATTGCTTTTGCTAATACAAGATACTTTCCCCAGATTCAAGGTACAGCATAATATGACCTTTTGTAGCAGATCTACATTTGAAGTTATCATGGTGATTCTTACAGTCTGCAGTTTTTTAGTTCATAACATGGTGTATGTCCTCGTGAGTTAAACTACAGTAATAACACTAGAGGAAGAAAGAATGAAAGTATATCAGGTGCATTTTATTGGGAGGAAAATTTCTATGGAATATTGTTTTATTATTGAACACGTTGCCCCATTTTATGATTCTGCTCTGCTTATTCTCAGTCTGAGCTAAAATATTCTAGATGTTTCATAGTCTGGCCCTTATATCTCTATCTAATCTCATATCTAGTTATTGATAGAAGTGAATCTTCTCTTAGAAGGCTTACCAGTGCCTGCACTTGGTTATTACTACTCCTGCTGCCACAGTCCATAATCCCTACCCTGGTAACAGTCTTACTGTGAAAGAGTAAACTTTGAGTTTTTCAAGAAGGCTTCTTTGCCTTGGGTGAATTTTTATTGTTCTTGCTGACTTCATACAGCTTTGCATGTGAATTTGATATCTTTTATCATTCTATGTCACTTCTTTAGGGAAATATTAAGTTCTTTGAGAATATGAAGGTATCTTATAATTTCCTTTATCCCTGAATAAATTCTTTATTGAAGAAAAATGGCCAAAGACCAGTTATTAACAGGTTTCAAAATATAAGTGTTTTGTAGTAAAGGAGAAAGAAGAAAGAAAGAAACCAGAACTTTGAGAGAAGACAAAGATATATAAGTTTATATGCATATGAGAATAAAAGTGTTAGTCACTCAGTCATGTCCGACACTTTGTGGCCACATGGACTGTAGCCCACCAGGCTCCCCTGTCCATGGAATTCTCCAGGCAAGAATACTGGAGTGGGTATACATTCCCTTCTCCAGGAGATATTACCAACCCAGGGATCGAACCCGGGTCTCCTGCATTGCAGGCATATTCTTTAATGTCTGAGCCGCCAGCGAAGCCTGTGTCTCTGTGTGTGTGTGTGTGTGTGTATAATCTGTAAATTCATAAATTTTTCTTAATATTAAAATGTTGTATCTAGCTCTTTTTTCCCTACCACTCTCCCAGCCCTTCATTGCCTTGGTTTTTTCCCTGTCTGGTGAAGACTTCAGGGTGCTTCACTGCATTCTTTTGACATTTCTTTCAAAATTTTTGCTTTCTTTTCTTTCAGAGTTTCCTGCCTACAGTTCCTCTACTCTAGGTCACCTCTGGTCATCAGAAAATTAAGCAGAGGCTCTAGGTCACCTGTGGTCCTCAGGAAATTGAGCAGAGATGCTAGATCACCTCTGGTCCTCAGGAAATTGAGCAGAGATGCTAGATCACCTCTGGTCCCCAGGAAATTGACCAGAGACTCTAGGTCACCTCCGATCCTCAGGAAATTGAGCAGAGAGTGTTGTAACATTAAATTGATAGTGCACTGATATATTTCTCTAGCTTCAGCAGCTCTTTGTGTTGCTTTGGAATCATTTTAGATATTCTTTCTTCAGTGTTCAATGAATTTCATCAAACTCCACTGAATTGCCCCTGCCCACTTTTTTCTAAGAGGAAATCTTGCATTCTATCTCACTGGGAAAAATGGAAGTTTTTAGATACGAAATTCCTAGTTGTCCTGCATTTATGCATGCAGACACATTTATGTGTACCAATGTTCCCTTTCTCCCAGTTAGAATGAAGAGGTAATCCTTCTGTTCCAGATTGAACTACTTGTCTGCTCTTGATTCTGTTCCCATCTGGTGTTTTGTTTTGTTTTTTTAAGAACCATTGCTTCATTTGTTGTTGTTGTCTTCCTTTCTATTGGTACCTTTCCTTGCATTCTCTAAACCTGCTCATATTTTTCATATTAAAAACTGAGCAATTTCATATGTACCTTACTTCTCTTTGCTTTTCTTAAAAGAAAAGGCCTTCTAACTATTGAATATATACCCAGGCCCCATTTCTTTATCTCCTGTTCACTTCTCAACCATGGAAGTGAGACTTTTATTTCTGCTACTCCATTGTCTTCCCATTAACTTTCTCTTCTTTCTTGCCCTCATTTTACAGCATTTGCCTCTCTTGACTCTTTCCCTCATCTTCCTAGTACCATTCATTCTCATCTAACACATTTTTCTTAGTCACTTGAAAGGCTCTTTTTATGTCTGTACTTTAAAAAGTTTTGATCTTTGCTTTTTTTCAGCTTAGTCTACCTGTTATCTCTTAAGGGAGCCCATCCACTCTCATGGTTTCAAATATTACATATTTTTATACATAAATGATCACTCTGAAATGTTTAAGTCTGTATTCCTTTCCTGAGTCCCAGACCCATGTACTCATACTTAGTATTCTATTTGGAAGATCCTTGGGAACGTCAATATTAAAATATCAAGGACTGAAATCATTATTATCTTTCTAAACATTTTTTATTCAGAATTAAAAAGAAGAATTTACTATGTACTCAGGAACTTGAGAATTTTTTTTTAATCTTTTCATGGTCTGCATGTAATTCTAGCTAAGGCACATTGATTTATTTCCTTGAACATTTATTTTTTGTCTCATCTTCTTCATTCTTTTTTCTAATGGATGCTTTTGTTCATGATTTTCCTAATGAGTGTTACTTTAAGCCTTGACCTTCCATTCACCTTTCCATGTTGCCGTCAGTCAGTTTTCACAAGCATATTTGATTTCTTTTCTGCTTGAAACCCTTTAGTATCATCCCGGTTGCCTCTATAATAAAGCCCATACTCTTTCTGCAGCTGAGTCCTGATATGTTGCTGCTATCCTCTAGCCACTTGTTTCTCCTACTTATCCTCTGGGTGCTCTGTTCATATCAGGCTGTTTTCCATTAGAAGCCTGATTCACTCTTCTTGGTTTTTGACACCAGCAAATAGTTCAAGGTCTTATGTAAAACAGGTACTCAGTAGATCTCGAATGTATGGATGATTGAGTGAATAAATGATATATGTTAGAAGATGCCTTTATTTTAGCAATTCTAATTTCATCTGCAAACATGGTTATAAGTATGATTGTGCTACTGGCCTTTAATTGGTGGAATTATGCAGTAATAATGTTTTATATTGAGTTCCTTCCTTCCTTAATTCAAAGTCTCTTTATAATGACAGATAACTAACAATCTTATGGTATTTGTTTTAGAATGATCACTGTATGCCTATTATACTTTTCTGATTTTTGATAAATTTTATAATGAATGCTTTTCTTCAGGTTTAAATGTATTAAAGTATCTTGGGAAACAGTAAAGGATTTTGAAAGAAATTTATACCAAGTGTCTTCATTATAGACTGCAACCTTGTTTAATGTTCAGAAAGAAATAAAAACAGGTACTATGAAATATAATAGCATTGAAACAATTGTAATTGTTTTTCTTTTAAGGGATTAAGCAGAAAACTTTTTACTACTCAGGACAAGAATTACAATACATTTATTTCATTCACTCACTGAGCCTTTTGGGAAGATTACTGATCTATACCCAAGGCCGAAAGCTATTTCCTATAAAGTTGAAGACTAGAAAAGGTAAGTGCAATTAGGAGATATGAATATGTTCGGGTATGATAAAATTTGTGCTATGATTTTTTAAAGTTTAGAGATTTGGCTTGGTCTCTCCTAGGATACTGAGCAAGATACCTTTCAGTCTGCTGACAGGCTTATGTAAAGTGTTGTTATTGTTCCCCCCACCACCCCAGTATGTACTTCTTCCTACTTGTGTAATTCTGTTTCCCCTGTCTTTAATGTTTTCCTTATTTTTTTTCTCTGCCTTTTAAAATCCTCGATATATTGGATGATTCAAGTTTGGATTCAGAACTAGAAGTCCTTGTTCTGATTCGGCTAAAAACTAGCTGTGATCTTTAGGCAACTATGTCTAATTTATTCTTCTGGATATAATCTTGTATTATAGACCTTTTTTTCTTAATTGTCTCATAGTCTCTATGAAAACTCAGATTAGGAGGATGGATGATTCGTTAAAAATTTTCTAACTTGTAAACATATACTAAAAAATGACTTTCTTTTTCTTCCTTTTTGAAGATTCAGTATCCCTTACAGATCTTCTGGTTCTGTTTACCCAACTTATCTATCATTCACCAACTTGTCCAAAGATGACATCACCTGGTCATTTAGGTAATCTAATCTGCTTCTATTATAAATAGAGAAATAGAAACCATGGAAAAATATTATATTTTCTGGATGTTTTGACAGACCTCATTTGGTAAAGAGATTTCATTAAGATAGCATTATTCATAATGAATTACATTGGTCGTGTCAAGTCTTTGCTTAGTGAATTTATGGAGTATGGAATATTAGAGTATAAATTAAGAACTTTAGTGTTTTTATGTTGTATATTACTAGGAAAACCTTACTAACTTTTGGTTCCTTAATTTCTTCATGTAAAACACTATTTTGTTCAGTATATTAGGAGGCAAATATCTGCAAATGTTAATTTATGAAACTAAAAATGCCACATTAATTTTGGGACTGTTCTCTATATTATATTTATTTATACCTGCGTCTTCCTGAATATATATATATATATTTTTTTTTTGAGTATTTATTTATTTTTTTTTTATTTTTTTTTTCCATTTATTTTTATTAGTTGGAGGCTAATTACTTTACAGTATTGCAGTGGTTTTTGTCATACATTGAAATGAATTAGCCATGTATTTACATGTATTCCCCATCCCGGTCCCCCCTCCCACCTTCCTCTCCACCCGATCCCTCTGGGTCTTCCCAGTGCACCAGGCCTGAGCACTTGTCTCATGCATCCAACCTGGGCTGGTGATCTGTTTCACCCTAGATAATATACATGTTTCGATGCTGTTCTCTTGAAACATACCACCCTCGCCTTCTCCCATAGAGTCCACAAGTCTGTTCTATACATCTGAGTCTCTTTTTCTATTTTGCATATAGGGTTATTGTTATCATCTTTCTAAATTCCATATATATGTGTTAGTATACTGTAATGGTCTTTATCTTTCTGGCTACTTCGCTCTGTGTAATGGGCTCCAGTTTCATCCATCTCATTAGAACTGATTCAAATGAATTCTTTTTAATGGCTGAGTAATATTCCATGGTGTATATGTACCACAGCTTCCTCATCCATTCATTTGCTGATGGGCATCTAGGTTGCTTCCATGTCCTGGCTATTATAAACAGTGCTGTGATGAACATTGGGGTGCATGTGTCTCTTTCAGATCTGGTTTCCTTGGTGTGTATGCCCAGAAGTGGGATTGCTGGGTCATATGGCAGTTCTATTTCCAGCTTTTTAAGAAATCTCCACACTGTTTTCCATAGTGGCTGTACTAATTTGCATTCCCACCAACAGTGTAAGAGGGTTCCCTTTTCTCCACACCGTCTCCAGCATTTATTGCTTGTAGACTTTTGGATAGCAGCCATCCTGACTGGTATGTAATGGTACCTCATTGTGGTTTTGATTTGCATTTCTCTGGTAATGAGTGATGTTGAGCATCTTTTCATGTGTTTTTTTGCCATCTGTATGTCTTCCTTGGAGAAATGTCTGTTCAGTTCTTTGGCCCATTTTTTGATTGGGTCATTTATTTTTCTGGAGTTGAGCTGGAGGAGTTGCTTGTATATTTTTGAGATGAATCCTTTGTTGCTTCATTTGCTATTATTTTCTCCCAATCTGAGGGCTGTCTTTTCACCTTGCTTATAGTTTCCTTTGTTGTGCAAAAGCTTTTACGTTTCATTAGGTCCCATTTGTTTATTTTTGCTTTTGTTTCTAAAATTCTGGGATGTGGGTCATAGAGGATCCTGCTGTGATTTATGTCAGAGAGTGTTTTGCCTATGTTCTCCTCTAGGAGTTTTATAGTTTCTGGTCTTACATTTAGATCTTTAATCCATTTTGAGTTTATTTTTGTGTATAGTGTTAGAAAGTGTTCTAGTTTCATTCTTTTACAGGTGGTTGACTAGTTTTCCCAGCACCACTTGTTAAAGAGGTTGTCTTTTTTCCATTGTATATCCTTGCCTCCTTTGTCAAAGATAAGGTGACCAAAGGTTCGTGGATTTATCTCCGGGCTTTCTATTCTGTTCCATTGATCTATATTTCTGTCTTTGTGCCAGTACCATACTGTCTTGATGACTGTGGCTTTGTAGTATAGTCTGAAGTCAGGCAGGTTGATTCCTCCAGTTCCATTCTTCTTTCTCAAGGTTACTTTGGCTATTCGAGGTTTTTTGTATTTCCACACAAATTGTGAAATTATTTGTTCTAGTTCTGTGAAAAATACCGTTGGTAGTTTGATAGGGATTGCATTGAATCTATAGATTGCTTTGGGTAGTATAGCCATTTTGACAATATTGATTCTTCCAATCCATGAACATGGTATATTTCTCCATCTGTTTGTGTCCTCTTTGATTTCTTTCATCAGTGTTTTATAATTTTCTATGTATAGGTCTTTTGTTTCTTTAGGTAGATATACTCCTAAGTATTTTATTCTTTTTGTTGCAATGGTGAATGGTATTGTTTCCTTCATTTCTCTTTCTGTTTTCTCATTGTTAGTGTATAGGAATGCAAGAGATTTCTGTGTGTTAATTTTATATCCTGCAACTTTACTGTATTCGTTGATTAGCTCTAGTAATTTTCTGGTAGAGGATCATGTCATCTGCAAACAGAGGGAGTTTCACTTCTTCTTTTCCTATCTGGATCCTTTTACTTCTTTTTCTGCCCTGATTGCTGTGGCCAACACTTCCAAAACTATGTTGAATAGTAGTGTTGAGAGTGGGCACCCTTGTCTTGTTCCTGATTTCAGGGGAAATGCTTTCAATTTTTCACCATTGAGGGTGATGCTTGCTGTGGGTTTGTCATATATAGCTTTTATTATGTTGAGGTATGTTCCTTCTATTCCTGCTTTCTGGAGAGTTTTAATCATAAATGGATGTTGAATTTTGTCAAAGGCTTTTTCTGCATCTATTGAGATAATCATATGGTTTTTATCTTTCAATTTGTTAATGTGGTATATTACATTGGTTGATTTGCGGATATTAAAGAATCCTTGCATTCCTGGGATAAAGCCCACTTGGTTATGGTGTATGATTTATATATTTTTAAAAGTCTTAAAGTTCATTTATTTCATTGGTTTTATGCTTACACAAGAAATCTGCTAGTTTCCATTACCATTTCTCCTCTGCTTTCTTCTTGGCTGTGTTTTGTATTTTTTAATGATTCTAGTTTTCTCCCAGGCTTGACACCTGAATATACTTTCTTATTTTTTTAACAAAAAGAAGAAAAGTGAATGCAATAAGAAAGGTGTTTGCCAGGAGGGGAGAAGTTGTGAATTTGCTTCAAACCACATCCTCACTATCAAGCAGAACTTTAATGTCAAACAGCAAATGATCTAATGATGTCTTTGGTGTTTATAATGTCATTTACTTTCATTAACTTGAAGATACATTAAGCAAATATTCTCAAGTTTCAGGTCATAATTTGGTAATAAATCATCCTCTGAGCATTGCATTGTATGATTTTTAAACTCTTTAATTAACCTTGATGAGCTTTTTGAAACAGCAATAGCTAACAGAGACACAAAAGATGTAAATAATGTCTTATTAAATTTTCAAAAAATACTTCTTCTTTATCAGAGAATTACTCTCCTGCAAGTATGGCAACTGAAGTTCTGTGTATACTCTGTGATCAGAAAGAATGTGCAGTTGAATGCTTATATAACAACACTGTGATTGAGGCTCTTCTTCAGCCTATTCATAACTTAATGAAAGGAACTAAGGTTGGTAATAAAGAGTCTCTTAATTGGGCATTAGTGAATATTCAATGGGACTTCTAAATTTGATCATTTGAAGTATTATACCATTTGCCATATAAATGTATTTTAAATCCTACTTCATACAGTTAGTTGATTTTAGTTATGAGAGTGTCAGGGAAAAGTCCATATAACATCTTAATCTTTTTTTCTGGTCAAACTTAGATATGACTGTAAGGACTGAAGTTATCTATTAAGATATTTGTTTTATAAATCTTTTAAGTCTTGTGAGTACTTTGTTGTTTGTTTTAATGACAATTGTATAGCCTTTGGAAATATTTTCCTGGAGTCAGCTTTTTTTAAATATGAAGAACAAGTATTATTTTAGATAAACTTATAAGCATCCCAGTTCTGAACATATGTACGTCTCTGCAGTTTGTGCTGTCTATTACCTTACATTATATACTGTATCCATCACACCCGAGGCTGAAAGAAACTGCTTAATGTCAGACATTAAAAGGTGGAAGAGTTGATACCATTACCACTAGTGCAGTATGTCTAATATATCTCTCCACTCCTGTGACTAAATTTCTGGGAGATGACTTAAAGCCTTAGCAGTAGACTAAAGGTTTTTGATTTTCCGGGTCTGCATTTTGTAGTGTTTTTATTGATTTCTTCTCCCTTTGCCCACCTCTCAGTGGGATGGACAGTTGTTCCCCCACTCACATATTCATCATTTATTGCTCATTCAGAAAGCATTAAACATTTTTGTGAATGTGGTACAAAGTGTGGAATTCTGGGAAAGTCAGTGGTTATAATGAAAATATTTTGATCTTAGTCAGCCTCAGGAAAACAGAATGATCAGAGAAGAAATAAATAGCTCATAATATACAACTTAATATTATAGAATGCCATAACATAAATTTCAAAATGTAAACCACATACCAGAGCTAAGAAACGTACTCCTGGATCTTGAACCATAGCTATTACTTCTTAGCTTTCATCTATCTATCTTTAACTTTCTGTTTTATTTTGGCATCTTTCTTTTACCTGTAAATGTGTTGGGATGGGGGAAACTCTTGATTACACAGTGCACAATTTTAACTACCAGCTTATATCTGGTCTTTTTAACAATAAGCTTTTAATTATGGCAGGTTACCATTCTTGTCTTGGCTCCTTCTCTTCCCATTGGTTCTCAACTCATTGTATTATAATCTTGCCTTCGTCATATCACTGATGAAGCTTTGATTGCAGTTGCCTGTAATTTTAAAACATGTAACTTTTCAGATTTGATCTTTAACATAGTAGATCTCTTCTGAAATTATGTTTTCTTAGCTTTCCTACAATCTTTCTGTTTTTTTTCTGTCCCTTTCTAAACATTCTTTGTTACCTCTGTGGTTTCCTTTCCAAGTCCCTGCTGTCTTCAGTGGTTCAGGACCTGGTTCACTTTCTTTTCTCTTCGTATGCTTTTCCTGGATGATTAGATCTCTTCACCTCCAGACTTCTTTAGCTACCGACTAACTTCAGGTGCCTGCTGAACACCTTTTTTTGTTATTTATTCCATGAGCCAAACTCAGCATTTTGAAAACAGAATTTTTTTTTTCTGCCCTTGCTCTGTTCTGTAAATGGGAACTCCTTCATTCTCTACATTCAATTTGTATTTAAGGCCTATAGATTTTTTTTCCCCCTGCATATGTCTAAAATCCAGGTATTTCTCTTAATCCCCACTGTTTTTGCTTTTGTTTGTGTGTGAGCATGCATACTCAGTCAATTCTGACTCTTTTGTGACCCCAGGGACTTTTGCCCACCAGCCAGACTTCTCTGTGCATGGGATTTTCCCAGCGAGATTATGGAAGTGGGTTGCCATTTCCTCCTCTGTGGGATTTTCCCAACCCAGAGATCAAATGTGCATCTCCAGAATCTCCTGTATTGCAGGCGGATTCTGTACTGCTGAGCCACAAGTGTGGGTATTACTTTTGTTTAAGCCCTGATAATTTCTTGCTTGGAATATACACATTTTTTCTTGTTCAGTTTTTCCACTTTCCAGCCTATTCCTATTTTGCCACTAAGGCTACTTGATGCTTGCTGGATAAACTTCAGACTTTTCAACTAGACATCTATATTGAGTGCTCCATTTTATATTGTACCTGTTTCTTTGCTGTATATTCCAGTTATAAGAGATCATTTGCATTTTCTAAGTCAGGTTATAGTATTTCTCTATGTTTAAACACTTTTTCCTTGCCATGGAAAGTCTTTAACTTGGTCTGTTTGTTCTTCAGACCACAGTTAATTGTATCTTGAAATTTTCTCAGTTCTCCCTGACAGATTTAGGTGTTTGTCTATATTCTCACATTATCTACTTCTGTAATTGTACCTTAGTTGCAATGATTCTTGAGAGTAAAAAACAACTGTCTGGCACATAATAGACATTCATTATCTCACTTAAGACATTGAACACTACCCACTGAGCCACCGCTGCATCACTGGCTCTGTGCTGGGTAGTTGAAATATAGAAGTGAATAAGACATAGTCATTGCTTCTTAAGGAACCTGCTCTAATAGGAAAGACAGAATATTAAACAAATAAAATATTGAAAATGAGGAAAAAGAAAGTTTAAAAAACGTGTGTATGAATGAAGGAAAGTAGAGAAGTTCTTTTAAGAAAGATATTTAGTGTGAAAGTAACAAATTAAACCTTAGATCATCATGAACTAGAACATCTGGATCATCTAGACCCCACATTAGTTGAACTAACGCACTGAATTTTTTAGAATGTATTGGTTGCAATGTGTCTTTTGTTCAGTCACTAAGTCGTGTCCTACTCTTTGCAACCCCATGGCTACAGCATGCCAGGCTCCTCTGTCCTCCACTCTCCCAGAGTTTGCTCAAATTCATGTCCACTGAGTCATTGATGCCATCTAGCCATCTCATCCTCTGTCACCCTTTTCTCCTTTTGCCTTCACTTTTTTCCCAGCATCAGTGTCTTTTCCAGTGAGTAGGCTCTTTACAATCAGGTGGCCAATGTATTGGAGCTTCAGCTTCAGATCAGTCCTTCAAATGAATATTCAGGGTTGATTTCCTTTAGGATTGACTGGTTTGATCTCCTTTGCTGTCCAAGGGAGTCTCAAGAGTCTTCTCTCGAACTGCAGTTCAAAAGCATCAATTCTGTGGCACTCAGCCTGTGACCCAACTCTCTCATCCATACATGACTACTGGAAAATAATAGCTTTGACTATACGGACCTTTGTTGGCAAAATGACGTCTCTGCTTATTAATACGCTGTCTAGATTTGTCATAGCTTTCCTTTGAAGGAGCAAGCATCTTTTAATTTCATGACTGCAGTCACTGTATAGATATATTCAAAATTATCATAGAGAATAGGTGCATTGCATCCATGTAGGTACAGGTGCATAAGTAGGTCCCAGAAAGAATAGAAACTTTAGTAGTATTAGACTTCTAGATAGGCTCTAGCATTGACACAACTCTCTAGTTTTTAGTATTTCCTTTGTACTAATTTGCTATATACTGGTAAAACTAGTTTTACTATTTTTAACAATAAAATATAGGGAAATATGATCAGTTCCACTTACGTTTTCTCATTAGTTGACATAATTAGCTATTGGCCAACTCATGAATTGATAGTCCTTAGTCACACCTACAACTAACTCATGACCATATCAGTTACAGGAAAAGATGGTGTCCCTTAGAAAAGATGGTAGTATGTTATATAGCATGTACAATGAAATTAGATCAGATATAGCCCAGTGAGTGAGAAGTAAAGGGCAAAGAAAAAGAGCTACTGCATTTGTCATCTAGAATTATATGCATTTAAAACTGTAATAGCAATTGTTTCTGCTGTCTTAATAAATTAATAGCTTTGGGTAAAAGGTATGTATGTTTTGGCCTTATCAACTGTGCTAATATGAGAATATAATGATGCATTTAATTCAGACATATTTCACAGCCTAACAATCATTAACTTTCTTTTTTGTTGTGATAGTATAACTTGATTAGATTACAATACCATCCTTGAATGTTAGTCTGTGATATGTTAGCATGTCATAAAATTATATGATATCTTTAACATACAGGCTGCTCCAAATTGCTCTGAAACAGCTTTAATTCATATAGCTCATATTTTGGCAAGAATTGCATCTGTGGAAGAAGGACTTACCCTACTACTTTATGGAGAAAATATGAACTCTTCTGAAGAAAAAAGGTATGTTTCTCTTTTGAATAATTTTTGGAATTTTTTAGTATGTTTTCTCAAAACTGATTTAAAGTTTCCAAAAATCTTGTCATATATTAATGAAAGTTGGGATAATTATTCTAGATAGTTATCTAGTTAGGTTTCTTGGTCAACTACTAACATATTAGATCATCAGAAATTTGAAGGAATAGCCAGCATTATGAATTCTGCAGGCAGAGTAGGTCTTGATATCTATAACTTCAAAAGAAAACTAGAATGGTTCACGCTGCATAGGATTGTTTTTGCTCCCTTGGACTGTACTCTTGAAACTTCTAAAGCCACAAATGACTGATAAGTTAAACCATACAAAGCAAAGCTAACTACTTCCCCATCTTCCTTCTCTAACCCTTATTCAGTTCTATCACCTGGGTCAGCCAGTGGTAACATTATGGTCATGCTTCTAGACTTTCTCTGTACTTGTAATGATGCATCAAATATATATGTTCAGTCATAGGATTCTTTCTTTTCAAAAATGGTATATGCATTACTTTTTGGGGGGGTTTTGTGTGTAACCATAACCTCTTCTTAGGTGAATATAGAATGAAACATTTTTAAAAGCTCTATAATACATTTTTGTATGACTTTACCATAATTTATTCAAATTTCTCTACATTATTGGATATTAGGTTGTGTCCATGATTTTGCCTCCACAAATAACACCACAATGAGTGTCCTTTTGTTCTATTGGTATGGTAGATTACATTAATTGATTTTTTTTGAATATGAACCACCTTGCATACCTAGAATATTTCTTTTTATATATTATTAGATTTGATTTACTAATATTTAAGGATTTTTGTCTGCGTTTATGAGAGAGATTAGTCTGTGGTTTTCGGGATTCTTGTCTAGCCTTACTGTAATGCTGGTCTCATAATTTAGGAAATATTCTACTTCTAGCTTTTGAAAAAGATTTGGCATAATTTGTTAAATGTTTGATAGAATTCACCAGTATACCTATTTGGGCAAAGTGTTTTCTATTTAGGAAGTTTATTATTTATTCTATTTCTTTAATCGATAGGCTTATTCAGATTTGTTTGTTTTTTGTCAGGTTGTGTCTTTCGAGGAACTGGTCCACTTATCTAAGTTTTCTAATTTGTGGGCATAGACTTTTTATTGATATATTTGTCTTTTTTACAGTATTCCTTTATTACCTTTATTTACAGTGTTACCTTTATTACCCATTTAAAATCAATGGGATTAGTAGAGATAGCCTCTCATATTATTAATTTGTGTCTTTTTTCCTCTCTAACCTCGTTAGTCTTTTCACTTTTACTGATCTTTTAAAAAACTAGCTTTCCACCCCCCACTCATTTCCTGTTTTAATTTCATTGATTTCTGTTCTAATTTTTATTTTCTGCTTTGTTTTGGATTTAATTTCATTTTCTATGGTGAAAGTTTAGATTATTGAATTTTGGAGCATCTTTCTACTATATGCATTCAGTTCTGTAAACTTCCCTCTCTAAGCACTGCTTTTGCTACATCCAACAAATGAGTTGTGTTTTCATTTTCATTAGTTAAAGATATTTTTAGACTTATCTGGAGACTTCTTTGACCTATGAGTTATTTATAGTTCTGAGAGCATATTTTGTATGATTGATATTTTTAATTTGTTAAAATGTGTTTTATGGCCCAGAATGTGATCTCTCTTAGTGAATGTTCTGTATGAGCTTAAGGAAAATGTATATCCTGCTACTGGAAGTATTCTGTAGGTACCAATTATATGCTGTTGGTAGTTTATGGTGTTCAATTCAGCTATGTGCTCATGCTGGATCTGTCAATGACTGGCAGAAAAGTGCTGAAATTTCAGACTGGATCAGTGAATTCATCTTTTTCTCCTTGCAATTCTGTTAACTTTTCCTTCATGCATTTTGACACTGTCAGGTACACATTAAGGATTGTTACATCTTTTTGCAAAATTGACCCCCTTTATTATGTAATATGCCATTTGGGTAATTTTCCTTGCTGTGATGTCTGAAATTAATATAGCTAATTTAGCTTTCTCTTGATCATCAGCATGATGTCTTTATCCTTTTACTTTTAATCTGTCTTTATCATTATATATAATAGGCTTCTATAGATACCACATAACTGGATCTTGTTTTTTTAATCTACTCTGATAGTCTTTCTTTTAATTGATCCTTGTCATTTAGAGTGATGTATGATATGATAGGATTAATGTTCACCATATTTGTTACTGTTTTCTATTTTGCCTTTGTTCTTCCTTTTTTTGTGTGTTCCAAACTTTTCCTGCCATCTGTTATTATTTTTTTCCATCATGTGTTTTAATATGTTTACATCTGGGAACATATTGTCTTGCTGATAATAGTCACACAGGATCAAAGTCTCTGCATGAGGTTGGGGGGGTTGGTAATCATTTAATCCTCACAGTGACTAAGGAAGAGGCTTCTATGTTTATCTCTATTATATAGATGGAAACATTGAGGCTTGGATTTCTATAACTGTGATTCAGTATTAATAGAAGAGAAGCATAATTCTTGTTTCTAATTGTTTTAATTTTGATTATTCAATTTTTCTGGATCCTAAATTACTCATTTTTTCCTATATTCCTAAACTTTGTTACTTATCATACCTGTTTTTTTCTTCCTTGTCCTTGATGGCTACAAGAGCCTTTTGAAAATTTTGTTTACTGTTGCATTTTAATATTTCAGAAGGGAGTAGATGTGAATGTAATGTGTTCAATCTGACATATTTTTTAACCTGGAAGCCTTTTCTTATCCATATAAATTCTTTTAAAATTAGGAAGACTAACTCTTTGCCATGAGTTCTAAGGTTCTTTTTTATTGTTCATCACTTCCCTATTTTTTTCTTTTATATAGACATTTAATTGTATGTAGTTAATTTTCTCCCATTATTATCATTATGATTTCTAGGTTTCTTTTTTTTAGGCGTCTCCCTTACACTGAAGTTAAACAGAAAAGACATAAAATGTTAGAATTTCTTCTGAATCCTCATTGTGCAGTGGTTTAGAGTTTCTAACTTTATTAGGGAAAGAATAGAAACATCCCAGGTGTTCAATCACAAGAGACTAATAGATTGAATTACATTTATACAAAGGAGTGCTTAGCAGTACTGAGAAGGGGATGCTGCTGCTGCTGTTGCTGCTGCTACTAAGTCGCTTCAGTCATGTCCGACTCTGTGCGACCCCATAGATGGCAGCCCACCAGGCTCCCCTGTCCCTGGGATTCTCCAGCAAAAACACTGGAGTGGGTTGCCATTTCTTTCTCCAATGCATGAAAGTGAAAAGTGAAAGTGAAGTCGTTCAGTTGTGTCCAACTCATGGCGACCCCATGGACTGCAGCCTACCAGGCTCCTCCATCCATGGGATTTTCCAGGCAAGCATACTGGAGTGGGGTGCCATTGCCTTCTCCGGAAAAGGGGATGAGAAATTTTTTTTATGTACGGCTATAGAGTTGTCATCAGGATATGTAAAGTGAAAAAACAAAACAGAAGAAAATTTATAGAATATTACCTTTTATATAGTAGAAGGGAATATGAATAAATAAAATTATATTTGTGTTATTTTCAAAAGGAAATGATAGAAGAGTAGTAATAGCTTTAGGGGAAAGAAAAGCAATAGTTTAGAGGAAAGGAAAAAAATATTTGGATTAAGAGACATAGATATAAGATATCTGGGATTATTCCTTGATTGTACCTAGATTTGACTTTGGAATCATGAATATGTTTTATATACTAAATGTTAAAGTTAAAAAGTAGAATCAAAAAAAATGTAAAACAAATGGAGAAATAAGTGAGCTTTACTACCAAACAGTCAAGTTAGTGACATACCTATGCAGAGAAAGCAGTTCAATCAAATTAGGTCACTTGAAATACATTCTTTTGGTATCATCTTTTAGTCCTACAGGTGCTCATCTAATTGCCCAGTTTTCGAAAAAACTTCTTGATGAAGATATTTCTATTTTTTCTGGATCAGAAATGTTTCCTGTGGTTAAAGGAGCATTTACTTCTGTGTGTCGTCAAATATACAGTACATGTGAAGGCTTACAGGCGTTAATTCCTTATAGTTTGCATGAATCTATAGCAAAGGCTTGGAAGAAGGTAAGTATTTTCAATCTTTTTTCTTCCCTGAAAATCTTTATTTTGGATATGTTCAGTGTTATAATATTATACTGAAGTTAAAATATTTTACTGAACTTCTTTAGCATCACAGTACTCCAAAGGACATAATGATTTCTAACTTGTCAAAAGGTGACTTCAGTACATCCTTTCCCTGTAGGATAGAGCTCTACAACTTAACTGGTGCTGCAGTCTTTTCTTCTGGTTATTGTTGTTGTTCAGTTGCTCAGTTGTGTCCAACTCTTTGAGACCCCATAGACTGGAGCCTGCCAAGCTTTTCTGTCTTTCACCATCTCCTGGAGTTTGTTCAAGTCATGTCCATTGAGTCAGTGATGTCATCCAACCATCTCATCCTCTGTCATCGCCTTCTCCTGCCTTCAGTCTTTCCCAGCATCATTGTCTTTTCTAATGATTCATCTCTTCTCATTAGAAGCATCAAGTGGCCAAAGTATTGGAGCTTCAGCTTCAGCATCTGTCCTTCCAGTGAATGTTCAGGATTGATTTCCTTTCGGATTGACTGGTTTGATCTCCTTGCTGTCCAAGGGACTTTCAAGAGTCTTCTCTAACACCACAGTTCAAAAGCATCTATTCCTTGGCACTCTGCTTTCTGTATGGTCCAATCTCACATTCATTCTTGCCTACTGGAAAAACCATAGCTTTGAATAGATGGACCTTTGTTGGTAAAGTAATGTGTCTACTTTTTAATATGCTGTCTAGGATTGTCACAGCTTTTCTTCCAAGGAATAAGCATCTTTTAATTTCATAGCTGCAGTCACCATCTACAGTCATTTTGGAGCCCCCAAAAGTAAAAGTCTGTCACTGTTTCCATTGTTTCCCGTCTGTTTGTCATGAAGTGATGGGATCAGATGCCGTGATCTTCGTTTTTTGAATGTTGAGTTTTAGGCCAGCTTTTTTCACTCTCCTCTTTCACTTTCATCAAGAGACTCTTTAGTTCCTCTTCACTTTCTTCCATAAGAGTAGTGTCATCTTCATATTTGACGTTATTGATATTTCTCCTAGCAATCTTGATTCCAGCTTGTGCTTCATCAGCCCGGCATTTCTCATGATGTATTTTGCATATAAAGTAAATAAGCAGAGTGACAGGATACAGCCTTAACATACTCCTTTCCAAATTTGGAAACAGTCCATTGTTCCATGTCCAGTTCTAACTGTTGCTTCTTGACTTGCATACAGGTTTTGCAGGAGGCAGATAAGGTGGTCGGGTATTCCCATCTCTTGAAGAATTTTCCACAGTTTGTTGTGATCCATACAGTCACAGGCTTTAGTGTAATCAATGAAGCAGAAGTAGATGTTTTTCTTGAATTGTCTTGCTTTTTTTATGATCCAGCAGATGTTGGCAATTTTATCTCTGGTTCCTCTGCCTTTTCTTAATCCAGCTTGAACACCTGGAAGTTCTAGGTTCATGTACTGTTGCAGGCTGGCTTGGAGAATTTTGAGCATTACTTGCTAGAGTGTGAAATGAGTGCACTGTGCAGTAGTTTGAAGATTCTTTGGCATTGCCTTTCTTTGGGATTGCAATGAAAACTGACCTATTCCAGTCCTGTGGCCACTGCTGAGTTTTCCAAATTTGCTGGCATATTGAGTGCAGCACTTCAGAGCATGATCTTTTAAGATTTGAAATAGCTCAGCTGGAATTCCTTTACCCCCAGTAGCTTTGTTCGTAGTGATGCTTCCTAAGGCCCACTTGACTTTGGACACCAGGATGTCTGGCTCTAGATGAGTGCTCACACCCTTGTGGTTATGTGGGTCATGAAGATCTTTTTGCATAGTTCCTCTGTGCATTCTTGCCACATCTTCTTAATATCTTCTGCTTCTGTCATGTTCATACCATTTCTGTCCTTTATTGTGCCCATCTTTGCATGAAATGTTCCCTTGTATCTCTAATTTTCTTGAAGAGATCTCTAGTCTTCCCATTATATTTTTTCCTCTATTTCTTTGCATTGATCACTTGGGAAGCCTTTCTTATTTCTCCTTGCTCTTCTTTGTAACTCTGTATTCAGATGGATATATCTTTTCTCATTTGCCTTTCACTCATCTTCTTTTCTCAGCCTCCTCAGATAACTGTTTGCCTTTTTTTTTTTTTTTTGTGCACTTCTTTTTCTTGGATATGATTTTGATCACTGCCTCCTGTACAGTGTTAATGAACCTTATTCCATAGATCTTCAGGCACTCTGTCAGATCTAATCCCTTAAGTCTATTTATCAATTCTACTGTATAATCATAAGGGATTTGATTTAGGTCATACCTGAATGGGCTAGTGGTTTTCCGTACTTTTCTTCAATTTAAGTCTGGGTTTGGCAATAGGAGTTCATGATCTGAGCCACAATAAGCTCCTGGTCTTGTTTTTGCTGACTGTATAGAGCTTTTCTGTCTTCAGGCTGCAAATAATATAATCAATCAGTCTAATTTTGGTATTGATTCTGGTGATGTTCATGTGTAGAGTCTTCTCTTCTGTGGTTGGAAGCATTGTTTGCTATGACCAGTGCATTGTCTTGGTAAAATTCTGTTAGCCTTTGCCTTGCTTTCATTTCTTCAGGTAAAAGGGACTTCAAATAGACTATCTCTATATAGATTTGGAGAAGGCAATAGCCACCCACTCCAGTACTCTTGCCTGGAAAATCCCATGGACAGGGAAGCCTGGTGGACTGCAGTCCATGGAGTCGCAAAGAGTCAGACATGACTGAGCGGCTTCACTTTCACTTTTCACTTGTATGCATTGGAGAAGGAAATGGCAACCCACTCCAGTATTCTTGCCTGGAGAATCCCAGGGATGGGGGAGCCTGGTGGACTGCCGCCTATGGGGTCGGACAGAGGCAGACACGACTTATCAGCATATAGATTTACTCTTTGGAAGTTATTTCTGGGCAGTTTTTATAGATAGCTGGGTTTTTGTTATGGACACTGGAGATCATAATGGAGCAATATTCAAATATAGTGTATATCAATACCTTCCCCCTACATTATCTATGTGCCTTATTTGTGAATTACTTTACATGATATTTAAGAATCAAATAATTTAAAATTTGCAAGTAATTTAATCTTTAATTACAGTAAGAGTCAAATATAAAGATGTAACTTGACAGCTTTTTAGTAATGCTATAAGTAAGAAAAATGTGTTATTTCTTATATTTTAGACAAGTCTGCTATCAGAAAGAATTCCTACTCCAGTAGAGGGTTCTGATTCTGTTTCTTTGGTTAGCCAGGAATCCCAGAACATGTAAGTATGATTGATTTAAGCTCATCTGATTTTTCACATTTGCTGAAATAATTTTAAAATGAGAAATGTATAGATACTGTGGCAAAAAAACAAAGAAAAGTTCATCTAGGGGAAACTTTCGAGATCATATATACTTGTATTTTTTATAAGAGGAAAAACTAGCAGTATTTGTTGTATTTCAGCCTGTATTTACATTTGGAGATAGGAAATGTGACATGTTAGAGTGCTTTCAGAAAACTTGGAAAATTACCAAATACTAAAATTGGAAATTCAGTAGAACTTTTCAAATGGCCAATGAAGTCTGTTACATTTAAACTATAACTTCAAAATGTGTGGGAGTACCGTTTAATTAGATTTTGGCATTGGAGAATTCTTTAAATCATTATTTATACTAATTTTTAAAAACTTTTATTTATTTATTTTTGGCTGCCCTGGGTCTTTGTTGCCTTTGTTGCTCTAGTCTAGCCAAAGACTAGTTGCTGTGATCAGGAGCTATTCTCTAGTTGCAGGGCGCAGGCTTCCCTTTCTGGTGACTTCTCTTGTTGTGGAGCACTGGCTCTAGGGCCCAGGGGCTCAGTAATTGTGGCCCATGGCCTTAGTTGCCCTGTTACATGTGGGATCTTGCCAGAGCAGGGATGGAACCCTTGCATGGCAGGCGGATTCTCAACCACTGGACCACCAGGAAAGTCTCTATACTAATTTTTTAATTCAGATGTTTTCATATTTTTTTCCACAGTTATCAGTTGGATATGGAGTCAGATTAATGGGAACTATATATACATATATATATTTTTACTTAGGAGTCATATATTCATGGAGTCTCTTTTTAATTGAGTATTGGCATAATCTGAAAAGACAATTAGAGTTTTATGTGGTAGTCCAAAGAAATTGAAAAAAAAATAAACATTTGTCTTTAGATAGGCATTGTTTAACTAAAAAAAAAAAACAGTCAAACAAACAAAATCTTTTGCATTTCCTTAATGGTGTAATGCTTAACAAATAGTTAAATTTCTAAATGTCAGCTGTAATTTTTTTTCTGATCTAGTTGTGAAACTTAAATCAACTACTATTTTTTCTTTGCAATTTCTTTGCAAAAATTTGCAATTTTTCTTTGCAAAAAAATGTTGCTGCAATTAATTTTTCAGGTAATTTTTATGTCTGTTTTCTTTGATTTATGATTTATTGTCTTCATTCATGCATTCATTTTCTACTCATGTATTTAGGTGTTTATTGGACTGAGTGCTTTGCCAAGTTCTGTGGATGCCTACATACCTTAGAGAACTTATTACATAGTATAAAATACAAATAAGTAAATACAATATGGCAATATAGTATGCTAAATTTATGATACAAATCATAGAGGGTTCATACAGGCTAACTTGGGGAAATCTTTCCAGAAGAAGTTATAATTAAAGTAAGTTAAAATGAATACATGGATATTAATTGTCTAGAAGGGTAGAACATTATTTCCGGTGGAAGACATAGTGTGGTCAGTGGGCTGTAAGTGAGAGGGATCATGAAAGTGTTGTGAGTCCCTCAGTCATGTCTGACTCTTTGTGGTCCATAGACTGTAATTCACCATGCTTCTCTGTGCATAGAATTTTCAAGGCAAGGATACTGGAGTGGGTAGCCATTCCTTACTCCAGGGGATCTTCCTGACCCTGGGATCAAACCAGGTCTCCTGCATGGCAGACAGATTCTTTACATCCTGAGCCACCATAATCCATGCATTTATCAGAAGATATTAAGAAAAGGTGGCAAGAATACACAGAAGAACTATACAAAAAAGGTCTTCCTGACCTAGATAACTGCAGTGGTGTGATCACTCACTTAGAGCCAGACATACTGGAATGTGAAATCCAGTGGGTCTTAGGAAGCATAACTACAAACAAAGCTAGTGAGGTAATGGAATTCCAGATGAGCTATTTCAAAATTCTCCAAGCCAGTCTACAACAGTACATGAACTGAGAACTTCCAGATGTTCAAGGTGGATTTAGAAAAGGCAGAGGAAGCAGAGATCAAATTGCCAACATCTGTTGGAACATTGAAAAAAAGCAAGAGAGTTCCAGAGAAACATCTACTTCTGCTTTATTGACTACTTCAAAGACTTTGACTGTGTGGATCACAGCAAACTGAAAACTTCAAGAGCTGGGAATACTAGACCACCTTACATGCCTCCTAAGAAAACTGTATGCAGGTCAAGAAGCAAAAGTTAGAACTGGACATGGAACAACAAATTGTTTCCAAATTGGGAAAGGAGTACGTCAAGGCTGTATATTGTCACCCTGCTTATTTACCTTATGTGCAGAGTATATCATGCGAACTTTCAAGCTGGATGAAGCACAAGCTGAAGATTGCTGAGAGAAGTATCAATAACCTCAGATATGCAGATGACACCACCCTTTTGGCAGAAAGTCAAGAGGAACTGAAGAGCCTCTTGATGAAAGTGAAAGAGGAGAGTGAAAAAACTGACTTAAAACTCAGCATTCAAAAAACGAAGATCATGGCATCCAGTCCCATCACTTCATGGCAAATAGATGGAGAAACAATGGAAACAGTGACAGACTTTATTTTCTTGGGCTCCAAAATCAGTGCAGATGGTGACTGCAACCATGAAATTAAAAGATGCTTGCTCCATGGAAGAAAAGCTATGACCAACCTAGACAGCATATTAAAAAGCAGAGACATTACTTTGCCAGCAAAGGTCCATCTAGTCAAAGCTGTGTTTTTTCCAGTGGTCATGTATGGATGTAAGAGTTTGACTATAAAGGAAGCTGAGTGCCAAAGAATTGATGCTTTTGAACTGTGGTGTTGGAGAAGACTCTTGGAGAGTCCACTGGACTGCAGGGAGATCTAACTAGTCAATCCTGAAAGAAATCAATCCTGAATATTCATCGAAAGGACTGATACTGAAGCTGAAACTCTTAAACTTTGGCCACCTGATGTGAAGAACGGACTCATTGGAAAAGACCCTGATGCTGGGAAAGATTGAAGGTGGGAGGAGAAGGGGATGGCGGAGGATGAGATGGTTGGATGGCATCACTGACTCAATGTTCATGCGTTTGAATAAACTCCGGGAGTTGGTGATGGACAGGGAGGCCTAGCGTGCTGCAGTCCATGGGGTCCCAAAGAGTCGGACATGACTGAGCAACTGAACTGAACTGAACTGATCCTTTCTGTCCCAATCAACTGTTATAGACTTTCCTCACCCTCAGAGGCAGAGCTTACAAAGATCAACCATAACTGCATAGTAGAACAGAGCAGACTGTGCTTCCTACAGGTACCTGGGTTGCAAAGAAGTGCTGAATTTGGGGAGAGGCATCACCTAGCCTAGCATTCTTAGGTCCTCCTACAAGTCTCCTGAGTCCCTTCTTCAAGGGGAAGAGTGAGTGATTAGGTGAATAAAGGCAAGCAGTGTTAAAATGGGGAATGTGCTCCATGTGTAAACTTGATGCTAGAGGAAAAGAAGTTTCCTTCAACATCTGATATTACTTTTAGAAACAAAGATTTAATGGCTTTTGATAAAATAGAACTGTTTTCATTTTTGTCATCAAAATACCTCATGGATTTGAGTATCTCTTGTATTATTTGAAACGTTGATATGTGTTGGGATTATTTTTCCTTTGTAGTTTGGTAACACTTGAGTGTAGAACCATTTTGGTCAGTTAACTAGACTAGCCTTTCTCTGTCATGTAGCAGGTGCTTGATAGCTTGGTTGAATGGGTAAAAGAATAACATTTCTCCTACTACCAGGCACTAGTTTCTAAATAATGACATGGACCATAATATTTACTCAGTCTTACTGAAGAAGGTAAAATGAAAAGTTGCTAAAATATGTATTTTTGAGCCTGTGACAGACTAATGTGAGGTAGGTTGATCTTATTTCCTCACAGCATATGTTGGAGATTTCCTCTCCATCCTTTCATAGTGCTTATAGTACTTATAGTATATAGTGCTTATAGTGTAGTGTAGTATATAGTGCTTATAGTACTATAGAGAAGGTAGAAGCTACTGTGTAGTCATCATAGGTGATGTCTCTAAATCTGGATGTTGAAATGCAACCCCAAATAAGATTTCTCAAGGCTAGTTTGATATCAGTGATTGCAATGAATACAGACTGTATGGGACTTACCTAGTGGCTCAGATGGTAAAGAATCTGCCTGCAGTGCAGAGTCATAGGTTCGATCCCTGGGTTGGGAAGATCCCCTGGAGAAGAGAATGGCAACCCACTCTGGTATTCTTGCCTGGAAAATCCCATGAACAGAGGAGCCTGGCAGGCTACAGTCTATGGGGTCTCGAAGTGTTGGACACGTCTGAGGGAGTAACACTTTCACTTTTCACTTTCACAGACTACTTAGGGACCATCCTTAGGGTGACTGTAGAGAAGAACGTAGTCACAGAAAAACCAAAGATGCCTGCCCTGCCCCAACCAGTTACCACAGGGCTTTTGGTAAATCTCTGACAGGGAAGTAACCGGGATCTTTGGTCTACAAAAACAGCCTATGAATAAACACCTGAAACTTAAGTGCCATGAGAGTGTCTAACCCTCTATTAATATCTGACCATGCAAAAAATGGAGTTCGCATAAGCTAACAAAGCAGTGATATTGTTACCTATTGTCCTCGGGGAAGGGTTCTCCAAAGACAGGAGGCAAATTCTATAGCTTAGATCTTCCTTCTGTTTTGAAACATTGAGTGTTTTCATTATAATTTGAAGGAAGAGTTAAATGCTAAGTTAATAGAAACAGTAAACTAAAACATATTAACTCTTTCTCAGGATTGTGTGATACAACCTGCAAGTTTTTGCCTGTGTTTTACTTTTTTGGAGAGTCAGAGTAGACTTTTTAAAAACACAATTTCTTTAATGGCTAATGGTTCATTCAAGATTTTTTATTTCTGCATGAGTAATTTTTAACTATTTTCTATAAAAGAATATTTTTTAATCTGAGTATTTATTGGTGTTAATTTGTTCAAAGTATTTTTGTGATGTTAAAAAATTCTTTAGCTCTAGTTACTTCTCATTTTTTATTCTTAGTATTTTTTGCAGCCATTGCTTCCCCTGACCAACTTATTTGCATTAGACCAGGTTTTGATTTTGCTGATGTTCTCTTTCCTTCTCTATCTTCTCTCCTTCTCTCACTTTAGTAGGATAGGAGAGCTAGTGAAAAGACAATTGAGAATGGATATCAATAGAAGTCTACATCAGGCATTCTAAATACATTTTGAAATGTAGCACTTTCATTATTAAGCTTTTAAAAATATTGTTATCTCGATTTTGCCCTTTAAATCCATGAAATATTTGGAGTACATTTAACTTTCCACATATAGTTTTTTCTTTACTGTATTTTACTGTTGACTTCTAATTCATTTCTGTTCTTTTCAGAAAACATGGATTGTATGATATATATGTTTCTGGGTGGGTTGAGATTTTGTATTCTAGTACAGGATCGGTTAAAAATCTGTCTTTACTTGAAAGTACTATTTTATGTTCTTTATTGGAAGTAGATAGAGATATTCCAAATTTTTAATATCACCACCAATATTTTTTCAGCTTATGATAATCATTCACTTTGAAAATTGACTTGTCCATTTTTCTCTGTAATTCTGGGGTTTTGTTTTACATACTTACATTTTATGCTATTAGGAACATAAAAATTCACTGTTTCTTGGGAACTTTTACTGTAGTATCGCATTACTTCTTTCCATTAAGTTTTATATGATACTAGTATTGTAAATATACTTTGCTTTAGTTAGTATTTGCAGAGTACATTAGTTAAGAATATATCTATTTGCAGATAGCTCAGTAAGGCTTTCTTTTTTTCATAAAGCAAAAAGTCTCATGAAATATTATCAGGCATTAACTTATTGATGCATTTGAGATCCAGCCTCCTTTTCTTAGGAGAAAACATCACTAATGTTTTCTTTTTGCACTCAAGGTAGCACAATGGGTAACCTCTAGAGTTCACAGCCTGCAAAGAGGAAAAAGGTTGTAGAGACAAATGGCTTCTTTTCATTCTTTATTTTTTATTTAGGAAAGAAATCTCTTCTCATTAACATTTTTGTGAACATCTTGCTGGATGTGCCCCATGGCCATTTCTTGCTGTATGGGAGTTGATGAAAAAGGAGCTTAGATGGAGATTGGGTCAGCCTATTAAAGTATTTTTTTTTAATCTCTTTATTTTCTGTCACTCAGAGTAGTAAGTTTTGAATTTTTTATCCAATCTGACAATTCCTGTTTTTTATTAGATGAGTTTTAAGTTTTTTACATTTTTGCAATGCTGATGTTTGTTTGTGTCTTATTTTTCTTTTTGTATTTTCTATTTCTATTCTGTTATCTTTACCTTTCTCCTTTACTTCCTTATCTTAGATCAGTACATTTTATCCTATCTTCCCCTTGCTTTTGACTTTATAAATCAGTTATGTTTCTTTAAGTGGTTGTTCCTAAATTCTCAATATGTATTTAACCATATATTTTTCTAAGAAAGTATAAAGTAATTGGGTATTTATATCATGTTTTGAAAAGCAATATAAAAAAAAAAAGAAAAGAAAAGCAGTATGGAGTTTAACATACCTTGACCAGTTACAGCTCATCTAGATACTCCATAGTTCTGTCTTGTTATAGTTATCTAGAATTTTGGTTTAATATTTTTAATCACCTGGTTTATGTCTTCACACAGAAATTAAATTGGTGTTTATTATTTTACACCATTTGTTGAGGCTTGTAGGCCATTCTTTCTGATAGGCTCCTTTTTTTCCGTTACTGAAAGATGTTTTTAAGTTTCTAACTATAGGTCTTAAGGTGATAAAAGTAAACTGTTTAATTGTTCTTAAGGCTTTGAGGGAGGCAAACTGATCTTTCTGTGTCTGAAAATAGCTATTGTCCTTCCAGCCCACACAAACCACCCCCACCTCCTGTTCAGAGCTTTTGAGATCTCATATTGTCTCTCCTCTAAATGATAGTTTATCTGGGTGTAAAACTTTGATCACCATCCTTAGTGCTATTTGAGGTTTTACTCCATTGTCTTCTGGATAGCAGCTGATAAATCTGTTAGTATAACCACTTTTATAGGTCATATCTTTTCTCTCATGGCTTTTAATTTCTTTCTTTGGATATTTGCTACTTCTGTGTGATTTAAGTTTATCCTGCTTGGTACTTTAAAACATTTTTTTTTTAAATTTTATATTGGGATATAGTTAACTCCTGCTTAGTACTTTGAATGTTTTTTTGATCAATAAACTAGACTGATACCCTTTTTTTTGATCTAGAAAATTCTTAGTATTTTTCAAATATTTCTTCTGTTCTCTTGGACTCTTCATTATATGTATTTGAAAGCTTTTAGTATGTTCTGTCTTATCTGTTTCCTCAAACATTTATTTCTTATCTAGCTACCTTTCAGTTCAATAATTCTTTGTGGCTGAGATTTTTTTCATTTGCTTTTTAATGGTTTTTAAAAAAATACTCACAAGACTTTTTATAGTTTTTTTTTAATATCCACCTATTTTTATTTCATTTCTGCTTTTTTGTTTCAGTTCTAATAGAAGAGTAAAAAATTTTGAGAATCATAAAGTTAGTCATTACTTTTGAATTATTTCAGCTGGAATGGATTAATTTAATGAATGTTGATTCTGCTGGCACTTGGCTTTAGATGTCTTTTGAAGTTTGATTACAAGTTCATTTTAAAATGAGTTTTTTTTTCCTTCACTACTTTCTTCCCTCCCCCATTTTTCCTAGTTTCTTTTCTATATTCATTCTTCTCTGTCCAGCAGTTTTATGGTTTTTTTCCTTTTCCCCCATGTTTTACATAAATATTGTATTGGCATCTTGAAACTCCTGTCAGTGATGATGAGGGTATTGCATATACTGTTAAAAGTTACGTGAACTGATTATCTGTACATTTCTAGAAATGAGGCTTTTTCTGTATCCTCCTGTCTCCCTAGGGTTATGGCTTGTCAAAAGTCCCAGTTTTTGTCAGTTATATTTAAGTATTGTGTTTATATAAATTTTGTATTTTAATTTTGGCTAAACATATGCAATTTTTAGTAGTATTGCTCCATCATGAATCTTAAGCAGTGAGCCTTCCATTGGTCATACATCTCATAGGTAACCCTGAGTCTTTTATATCCTATTTGAGCCAAATTTAGTTTCCGTTGCCTGTATTTACCTCAAAACTAGTCCTACTTCTTTGTCCTTCTTTATCCAAGAGATATTTATTTTGTGTTTGAATGTGGTTATATCTTTGACCATTGCTTTGTGATCACCACTGATGGATATCTGTCAACATGTACTGATTGTTTCTTTCTTAATCAGAAAAGTTGTGGATTTCAAATCTCTTACCAGTTTCAAAACGTACTTCTGAAACTTCCTTGGGCAACAAAAGGGCATACATTTCCATGCTCTGTTTTATTGTACATATAAGCATTTGACTTTGACCTATTTTAATATCCAGCTTTTTTGTTTTTCCAAGCAAGTAGGAATAGGATGGGTAGAAGATTTTCTCTTACTTTGATACTTCGGATGAAGTTCTCATATCCCCTCCAGTGTTTCCAGATTTCTAGCTGTGACTTTCCTGTTTACTGTATGACTTCTGAATGTTTTGAGTTGTTTTCCTTTTCTTTTTTGTTTTTCGCTGGAGAATGCTACTGGCCTTTTAGAAGTATTCTGAGGAAAAAAATGTCATTCTCCAAAAGTAAAACTGATAACCAGTGAAAATAAAGTGCCCGGTATGCTTTAGAAAGTCAAAAGACAAATACTCCTTAATGAACGGAATGTATAGAAATAGTGGAGAGCTGGGGCTTGGGGAATTTAGGTACAGCAGAATTTTAATAGGAGATGTGGAATGAGATTAACACCTGGTTGAGAGAATTTTGGTGTAATGAAAATGCTGATATGTGCAGTTAATATTTGATTCATTTAGTGAAGGAAAATTATTAGATAGTAGAAAAAAGAATAGCAGCTCACTGTTAAGGAAGCCATGCTATTTATCTTATTTTTAAACAGTTAAATACTTTGCAGCCGGTGTGTTCTCTGTAAGTTTAATTGTTGGTAGTATTAAACTGAGGTGTTTTTTTTTTTCTTCCAGTTTTGAGAATAATAAAGACATTTGTACCTTTCTTTTTATCTCTTTCAGTATGGCTTGGGAAGAGAATTTGTTAGATGATTTACTAAATTTTGCTGCCACTCCCAAAGGACTACTGCTTCTTCAAAGAACAGGTGCCATCAACGAATGTGTGACATTTATGTTCAACCAGTATGCAAAAAAATTACAGGTGCGAATTATCATCTGCCACAGGCAAAAGGAACTTTTGTTTCTGTAAAAGCCATTAAGTATATCATTCTGGTTTCTTTACGTGAAGAGATTATTAAACTTCAATTAAAAACTCATATATCTTTGTAATATTTAACTTGATATTTTTTCAAGAGAGCATTAGAGTTGATATTGGTATCTATGACTGTTTTACAGGATGAAACAACTGAATGAAATTGAAAAACTCTCTCATCCAGATGTTTTATAAATATATCAGACATCTGGCTATATTAAAACTCAATGGAATTTCATTTTTGGGTCTAAATGTGTCAATGAGAATTTAGGGTTCACATTTTGAAAGAGATAAATATATTTGTAGAGGGCTTTTATTATTGCTACTGTTTAAATTTAAAATCTAGGCCTTTCTCACAGAGATCATTGAAGTATGTTCATTTTTTTGCTATTACAGTAAATATCCCTAGACTTCAGAGGATCATAGGTATACTTTTTGTTGTTGTTGCTGTTGTTTTTGTTTGCTTTGTTTTTTTTTTTTTAATTGGAGTATAGTTGCTTTACAAAGTTGTGTCGATTTCCACTGTACAGGGAAGTGAATCAGCATAGGTATGCTTTTAAAAGTGTTTCCTTTTATCTCTGGAAGTTGCTGTTTCTTGATGTTCTTCTTGTAGCCTAGCAGAAAGGGCTGGGGCCTCTTGGGGATCTTTTATTTATTTATTTTTATAGAAGAGCACTAATCCCTTTCATGATCACTGTCTACCTTCACAAATAGCCTCCCATAGGCCCCACTTCTTACCATCATGTCTGGGGCTTAGGATTTCAACATAGGAATTTTGGCAGGACACAGACATTCATACTATAGCAAATGTAGACGTTTTCAGGCTTTTAAGTTTATATAAATTGTGTTTTGATCTGTTGGTGAGTTTGAATTTCTCCTTGTATACTAGTTAACCATTTGAGTTTTCATTTTTCTTCCATTTCTGAAAATATTCAAGCAGTTCAAAGACATTTTTCTTTCTCATTCGGATGCTTGAGACCATTCAGACACAACTTATTACTATTGTGATAATGCATCTAGGATTAGATGTTATTTTTTTTAATTCATAAAATTTAAAGCAATCTGGTCTTCCTTTGTATTGTGCTTTTAGTGGTAATAGAAGACGTTCCCTGGACCTCAGTAAATTACAACCATATAATTTAGTACAATACTTTAATATCGATTATTCAAGACGTTTTTTGAAAATTTAGATTCTGAGTTATCTTGTAAGAAAGCAGCTAGACTTTCTTTAATTTTGCTAAAGATAATGTTGAGAGTCAAGCTGGTATAAATGATCTGTGTTCACACATGTAGTTATTGATGGCAGTAATTCTAGAACTGAGATTCTGGTCTTAGATTTTAACAGTGTCCATGAAATCTAAGTCTTGTTTAGTGAAGCCCCTGTAACTTCTTGGAAGGTTTTCTTTGTTTCTTCTTTTTTAGTATTTAGTCTTGATTGGGAGACCCCTATGGCTACTAGTATCTGAATCAGTAGGGTCATTTGGAATGATTGATGAGTAATGTGTTTTTCTTCCTGTCATGGAAAAAGGCATGTGGGAAAAGATAAACACTTACTTTGCTGTACTTCTATGTTATCTAACTGTTGAATTAATGGATGGTAAGTTAAGGAACATGGATAATGAGATTTGGAAGGCAAATTTATAGAGATTTGAGCAGCAAAAATATTGAAGAAATAAGCCTAATTTTTTTGCCATAGTCTTTTAATTCCCACCCCTTTTTTGCCCTTAAAACAGAATGCATAGTTTATATTTTAAATATTTGATGAAAACATGTGCTTATCCTTTTAATAAAATGTTGAAAAATACAAATTCTAAATGGTTAGCTCTATTTAGAAGCCAAACACTTTGGTTAAGATCAGGCTGACCTATGAAGTCTGAGGAAGGAGGAACATTTTGTAGTGTCTTTGTTATTTCCTTATTGTGATTTTTGCTAAGAGATACTTCTGAACTTTACCATGAATATGTGTATAATATTCCCTATAAAGTAGCAATTATTTCAGGTTTTCTACAGTGTATATTAAATGAGGATTATGTGTGCATGCATGTTTGTATAACTTCCTCCTTTGGGGAAAAAATATCACATTGCCTCTAAAATGATGATTTTTAAGAAGGTACCATTGTTCTTTTTAAAGCTGTTTATTTGAAAGCCCAGTGTAAAAACTGGCAGTCAATACAGATTAATCAATGATAATTTACTATTGAAGAACAAATTAAAGAATAAAATAGTAAGATAACAGAAATTAGAGTTAGAAGGAATATCTTTTCATTCAGTCCAAAGTCCCTTATTTTATATATAAAGAGACTTAGAGACATAGTGACTTGTTTAAGGTCATAAAGCTTCTTAGTTTTAGGGCTGGTACCAGAGCCTAGTTCTGATATAAGATTGTCAAAAATATTCGTTAGCATTAACTCACTGATCGTAATAGTTTTTTTCTGCTCTTGTTATCCTTACTTGAAAGACTAGCATTTTAATAAAGAAATCAGTAACTCTGCATATAAAATGTAAATAAAATATTAGCATGCTATGTTTTCCTGCTTCTCATGGTTTCTTATTTACATTAGATCAGTAGGCATAAAAAGTTTGGCTATGGAGTTTTGGTTACACAAGTGGCATCAACAGCAGCAGGTGCAATAGCCCTACAAAATTCAGGTAAGTTCTTTAGAAGGATAATTTAAATAAAATGAGCTAGTTGATACAAAATTCAGCTGCCATGATCAAGTATCAGCTATTTCACTCTGATGTTCTTCTTCCCAAGTTAGGACATAGGTAAAAGAGTGTTAATGGGATTTCCTTCTTTTCTCTTCCATGAAATCCCACTAGGAATTTTTTTTTCTGTAAAATATATACAATTTTTTTCTTTGCTCAGAACAATGGTACATAATGACTGAAACTAAGATATACCTGATGGCTTTAAGAACCCTTCATTTTATAAATCAAAAGTGTATCATCTTTTCTTGGTATAGTTACATCTGATATGCTTTAATGTTCAGTTTCAATGATTTATATATGAATCAAGATTTACAGTCATAATAGTTGTCACACATGCATATCATTTTCTTAGTCCCTTTTCTCTTCTTTTCTTGAAAGATTCTCACCCACTTAATTTTCACCACTGTTTCTGGAGTTTATAGTCGGCATGTATTATCTAATATGGATTGGATTTTTAGGTGTTCAAACATTGAAGTTTTAATGTATTGTAAAGTTACCTGAACCCTGCACCAGAGACTGATAGAGATGCTGTGATTATATTTAAACCTTAGAAGTAAAGAATCATAATCTCAGTGGTTACTACTGAGTCTCTCCTCAGATGAAAATATTTTTCTATGGTGTATCTAAATCTTAAGTATTTTTCGGCTGAACTTATTTGGACTGCTTATATTATGAAACGTATTTCTTGGCAGAAGCTGTCCTAAGCGAACCACTTACTGCTTTACTTAGAATAAAATCCAAATTATTTATGGTACTCAGGGGCACATTAAAGGAAACATTTGAAGACTAGATTCAATCCCAGATTTCCCTGTTGGTCGAGTCATTAAGCTCCTAAACCTTATAGTATCCAGCTTTCTTTGAAAGGATTAAATGCAAGTTTTCATGGGACAAAGGAAGGAAGACTGACACTGCCTGAGCTCCTATGATGTCTTAGGTACTGCATTAAGACCTCTATGTTATACTTTACGGCAGCCTCCAAATATAGCACTTACTCAGTTTTCACATTGGGAACTGATGCTGTTAGAATTCAAAAGATTCAAGGATATATAACTTAATAAGCTGGCAGATTAGTAATTTGAACCCTGATAGTCTTGATTTCCAGAGAAGGCAATGGCAACTCACTCCAGTACTCTTGCCTGGAAAACACCATGGACGGTGGAGGCTGGTAGGCTGCAGTCCATGGGGTCGCGAAGAGTCAGACACAACTGAGCGACTTTACTTTCATTTTTCACTTTCATGCATTGGAGAAGGAAATGGCAACCCACTCCAGTGTTCTTGCCTGGAGAATCCCAGGGATGGGGGAGCCTGGTGGGCTACCATCTATGGGGTTGCACAGAATCGGACATGACTGAAGTGACTTAGCAGTAGCAGCAGCAGTCTTAATTTCAAAGCCTATATATTTTGTTATACTAGAAACCCATTCTGCTCTAATGTGTTCCTGCTAAATTAATGATTTTATAATTAGGTGTTCTGTTTTACACTTTTCCATATGCTTTGATTCCTCATAAAGGAATTTGATAATCAAACTCAATAGTCACTTTCATTTAGATAATGTAGTATCTGACTCAGGGAAATTTGAAGACTGTATAGAAACAAAAATTGTATGAAATAGAGAACTGTTGTAAGCATATGGAAATACAAAAGGATAGTTACATTAGAGAAAGAGAACACATGTACACTCTTCAGTTGCTTACGATGATGCCTCCTGATACCTCCTTCCTTATGTACATACACTGTGACTTTCAGGGTGCATTTCACTGTTAGCTCATTTGCAGAGTAACATGTAAACTTTTTTTTTTTTCCAGGAAAACATGCTGAGAGAGATTATGACTAAAGGATTAAAAACTGGGACTCAAAATTCAGTCCCCTAGGGGAATAGTTTTGAGAGTTTAGTCATTACATAGTTACATAATAATGAGAGTTTAGTCATTACATAATTTAGTCATTACATAGTTTTATCATAAGCATATATTAACAATATCAGCTCTAATTTCTACCAAGGTTAGAGGTTATTTCTTGTACAGGATTCAAGTATGTCTTTTGTCATTGTGGAACAGTCTCATCAGAAGGATAATTATATCTTTCCACCAAAATCCAAAGAAGAAATATACTATAAATATGATGTAAAATTCTTCTTAGGGTTTATTAATGCCCTTATAACTGAATTATGGGCCAATCTGGAATGTGGAAGAGATGATGTTAGAGTAACCCATCCCAGATATACTCCTGTGGACCCTATTGACCAAAGCTGTCAAAAGGTAAGAAATGATTTATCTAATAATGTATAGATTTTAAGTATCTCTCAAATTACTTCATCCAGACTTTAATCTATATTCAGTTACAACCAGCAGCCTTTCCTAAGTTTGTCCTTTCCCTCCTTTCTTTGATTTCTAACTTTGTGTTTTAAAAATAAACTTATAAAAGACAGAAATACCCGTGTTCCTTGGGAATTGTCTTGTAAGGACATTCTTTTTTATGATATACCTACTATATTTTATACTATAATTTTTCTCAATTAGTAAACATCATAGACATCAGACAAAACAATAAATGTGGACTTAAAGGAGCTAGAAAAAGAACAAACAAATCCAAATTTAATAGAAGGAAAGAAATAATAAAAATCAAAACAGAAATAGAGAGTAAAAGTGAAAGCAGAAAAAGAACAAACAAACCCAGATGTAATAGAAGGAAAGAAATAATAAAAATTGAAACAGAAATAGAGACTGAAAAACCAACAGAAAAGATCAGTAAAACTAAGAGCTGATTTTTTGAAAAGATAAACAAAATTAGTAAAGCTTTAGCTAGACTTCTCAAAAAAAAAGAGGACCCAAATAGATTGGAAATGAAAAAGAAGTTACAACCAGTATCACAGAAATTATGATATTACTATGGACAATTATATGCCAATTAAATGCACAACCTAGAAGACATTGTATATTTCTAGGATTTTACCCATCTTTTAAGATTGAATCAGGAATACAAAATACGAACAGTCAGATGACCAGTAGTGAAACTGAGTCAGTAATTTTTAAAAGACTCCCAACAGACAAAAATCCAGGATCAGATGGCTTCACAGATGAATTATATCAGATATTTAAACAGTTAATGCTTCTCCTTCTCAAACTATTGCAAGTTTGAGATGAAGGAATATTTCAGAATTCAGTCTGTGAGGCCCATATCACCCTGATTCAGAAACAAAAGACTATGAAGAAAAAAAAAGTACAGGCCAGTATCACTGCAGGTGGTTGCAAAAATCCTCAATAAAATGCTAGCAAATCAAATTCAGCCATACATTAAAAGGGTCATAGACCATGATGAAGTGGATTTATCCCAGGGTTTCAGGATGGTTCAGTATCTGCAAATTAGTTGGTGTGATATTCTACATTAATAATTGAAGGATAAAAATCACATCATCTCAGTAGATACAGAAAGAGCTTTTGACAAAACTCAACATTCATTTATGAAACTGAACATTCACCAGTGTATGAATGGATAAAGAAAATGTGGTACAGGTATAAAATGAAATATTATTCAGCTATAGAATAAAATGAAATCTTGCCATTTGTGACATGAATGGACACATAAAGTATTATACTAAGTGAAAAAAGTCAGATGGAGAAAGACAAATACCGTATGATTTCATTTATATGTGGATTCTATTTTTGGGGGGGATTTAATTTTATTGTCATTTAAATTTTAGGAAACAGTTATGTAGCTTCCATATATAAAGAGGTTCATTTAAAAGTTTTAGTCCAGTTTCTCCTTCCTTCTCTGTATACCTTTGCTTTTGCTGTATGCTAAACAATAGCCCTACATAGCTATGTAAATTTGAATTAAAACTAAAATTAAAAATTCAGTCTCAGTTACATTAATCATATCTTAAGTGCTTATCTATAGTCACATGAAGCTAGTGACTATCATATTATACAGTTTAGAACATAAAATTTCCATCACCACAGAAAATTTTATTGACCAGCCAGGATCGTGGAGCTAGGGTGATACTGTTAAATAGTGTCTGAAGATTATTTATTTGGTAGTGAGTAATCTTAGCCTGGAAATAAGAAAATGCAATTAGTTCTGCTATCAATTTTTTGATTATGTGTTTTTGACCAAGACACTTCACTTCTCTGGTCCTCAAGTTTTCTCATCTATTAAATGAGAAATTGAATTAAACTATTCTTTGAATTATCTCAGTGTTTTGATTTTTGTGAAAATATTTTTTTCCTTTCCTTTTTTAAAATTTATTGATTTTTAAATCGAAGGATAATTGTTTTACAGAATTGTGCTGTTTTCTGCCAAACATCAACATGAATCAGCCATAGATATACATATGTCCCTTCCCTTTGAACCTTCCTCCCACTTCACTCCCCATCCCACCCCTTTAGGTTGTTACAGAGCCCTGGTTTGAGTTCCCTGAGTCATACAGAAAATTCCCATTGGCTGTCTATTTTACATATATTAATGTTAAGTTTCCATGTTACTCTCTCCATGGATCCCACCCTCTCCTTACTCACTGCCCCCCACCCTCATGCCCATAAGTCTGTTTTCTATGTCTGTGACTCCATTGCTGCCCTGCAAATAATTGTATCAGTACCATATTTCTATATTCCATATATATATTAGTATATGATATTTGTTTTTCTCTTTCTGACTTACTTCACTCTGTTTAATAGACTCTAGGTTCATCCACTTCATTTGAACTGACTCAGATAAATTCCTTTTTATGGCTGAGTAATATTCCATTGCATATATGTACCACAGCTTCTTCACTGATTGATTTGTCAATGGACATCTAGGTTGCTTCCATATACTAGCTATTGTAAATAGTGCCACAGTGAACCTTGGGGTACATGTGTCTTTTTCAATTTTGGTTTCCTCAGGGTATATGCTTAGTAGTGGGATTGCTGGGTCCTGTAGTGGCTTTATTCCTAGTTTTTTTAAGGAGTCTCCATACTGTCTTCCATAGTGGCTATATCAATTTACATTCCCACCAACAGTGCAAGACTGTTCCCTTTTCTCCACACCCTCTCCAGCATTTATTGTTTGTAAACTTTTTGACGATGGCCATTGTTGACCAGTATGAGATGATATCTCATCATAGTTTTGATTTGCATTTCTCTAATAATGAGCAAAGCTTCTAAAGTAACATAGTGAGTCAATGGGAGGGCTAGAGGGAGCTCCTTAGTAGGATAAGAAAAGTTTGTATATGTGGCAGTCACTTGAAGGAGACTGCAGACAGATCTGATTGACTGCAGTGATGACTTCAGGCTGAGGAAACTTAATGGCAATCGAGGCTTTTGAGGCTGAAGAGGAGAAAAATGTCAATAAAGTGCCTTGAAAGTCATGCTAAGGACTTTAGATCTGATGTTTAGTAATGGGCAACCACTGCATACTGCATCCAAAGAATGAACTGTGCCTGAGGAAAATATTCAGGTCCTTGTCAGTGAGAGAAGAGCAGGAGCTTCAAAGCTTTCATGGAGAGATTAACTTGGTAAACTTGCATGAGAAAACAAGCTGATTTGATAGGGAAAGCCATAGCTTTTTCTAATTAACTGTAATTATTAATAGATTACTTGAATCTCCAGTGAATGTATCAACAGTTAAAGGCTGAAGATAGCCTTGTGACCTGAGTGCTGTAATATATAGAATTTGTTATCTTGCTCCAGAGCCCTGAAGTATTATCTTTTCTTATACATCAGATATAACAATGTGAAGAATGAGAAAAATGTATCATTTCATTTTTGTCAGAACTAAACTGTCAGAGATATGTGATATTTTAAAACATTTTCCAACTCTTCAGTTACATTTTCTTATAGTTTTTATGCATTGTCAGTACATAGATTATTGTTGTTAACTATTTTGTACTTATCATAGAAGCATATATTTCAGTTATATGGGTTGATTAGGCTTATTTTAAAAACTCCCATTTGCACTAATGGCTCTTCAGTGGATGTGATTGAGAAAAAAAATGAACCATTTGAACAGTGTTTTTCTTCCCACCTAGTCTTTTCTAGCACTGGTGAACCTGTTATCTTATCCTGCTGTTTTTGAGCTGGTTGGCAATCAAAGTCTTCCTAATAAAGCAGAATATTCTCTTCGTGAAGTCCCAACAAGTGTTATTGTAAGTCATTTTCTTTTAATCTTTCACTTTTTTTTTAAATCTTTCACTGTTATAGTGCTACTTTTTAAGATGTGTAGTAAAAATGCAATTTAACAGGAAAAAAAAGTATAATAAATCACATTTAAAGACCTATTTGATTTATTTACCTATAGAATGTTAGCTTCCAAATTATCTGTAAATGGAATCTTTGATCCTGGCTGGCTTAAAATGGTGGCACCTATTGAAATAACAAGGTTAACATGAGTTTGAGTAAGCTCCGGGAGTTGGTGATAGACAGGGAAGCCTGGCGTGCTGCAGTCCATGGGATCTCAGAGTTGGACATGACTAAGCGACTGAACTGAAAGGTTTCCCAAATAGGGAAGAGATCCAGCATATATAAAAGTTAGTGTATTAGTTATTTTTAGGTGACTTATGTTATTAGTCACACGATTATTGCTCCTTCATTGACTAAGATAATTAGAAATAAATTGTATCTAAAGAGTCCAATACGTTTTCTGCTTATATTTTAAATGATCTGTGTATTACTGCCCCATGAGGGCAGTATATGCATATTTATTTAATTTGAAACTTATTTTATATTCATATTTCAAAATTAACTTATTTTATTCATTCAAGTGTATTTAGTTCCTCATCTTTTGTTAAGTTTATGAATTAAGCACCCATTTGTATTTAATTTAAACACAAATTAAATAAGTGTATATATGCATTATTAAGGAATCATTTAATTCTGAAATCTCAATCATTGATTTTATCTTTTGGTCACTTTGTCCTGTGTGTTGTTTTCCTTATATCATTTTGAGATTTTGAATTCTTCTAATTCTTGGTGACCCTAAACATTTTATTTTTAAGAATTTGCTCTACTTTGGAAATTTTTTGATAATTTATATGAATGAAATACAAATAAAATATTTTTCTCTTTAAACTTTCATATTCTTGAAGTGTTCCAGTTTTAGCTTATGCTTACTTGTATCTTGGCACTTCTTAAGTAGTTTTATAATTAACCATTTATCTGCCTGTCTTCCCTACTACACTGTGAGGACCTGAAAGCAAGTAGAATATCTTGGTCATATTTACATCTAGTAATAACTGGATAGTAGATATCCAGTGAATGGTTTTTGAATGTATTTCTAATATTATTGCCTTTATTGAAATCTGTTATGGAACACAAGTATTATATTAATACAGATGTGCTATTATTTAATCTAGAGCAATGGCTTGGGTGTTTATTCTCAAGTTTTTGTGGATGTGCTACAGTGCATAGTCAAAAATACCTGTCCTCTTAAGTAAAGGATTTGTCTTTAATGTAGTCTTAAAATGCTTAACTGCATGTAGTTTTGATAGTCCATCTTCTTAATGTCACTACATTTTAACCCTGTAAATGAATCACTGCTTCCAGTCATCATTTAAACAAGTATAAACTCTTCTTATTAAAAAAAACAAAAAACAAAACCCCCTTGATCTATGTTGTCTTTTAGCTATCACCCTATAGTTTTTTTTTCTTTGCCAAAAAGTATCTTGAAAAAATTGCCTATATTTGAATTCTCAACTTCTTTCTCTTGTATCAACTCTAGAAGTCACTGTAATCTGGAGTCTTGCCTAACCAACTACTGAAATTGTTCTGCCAAAAGTCACTGATAAATATGTAATTCCCTAATCCAGTGGAACCTTCCCCTATATTTAACTTAATTTACCACCTTGTGGCATTTAGTGGAGTTGATTCATTCCTCCTCATTGTCATTCTCTTCCGTGGCTATGGCACTATTTCTAGTTCTCTTACGGCTTCTGTGTTCTCTTCTGTGGACTTCTCTTCTGCTGTCTTATGTCCTTTAGGTTCAGTCAGTTCAGTCACTCAGTTGTGTCTGACTCTTTGTGACCCCATAGACCGCAGCACATCCGGCTTCCCTGTCCATCATCAACTCCTGGAACTTGTTCAAACTCTTGTCCATCAAGTCACTGATGCCATCTAACTATCTCATCTTCTGTCATCCCCTTCTCCTCCTGACTTCAATCCTTCCCAGAATCAGGGTCTTTTCCAGTGAGTCATCTCTTCGCATCAGGTGGCCAAAGTATTGGGAGTTTCAGCTTTAACATCAGTACTTCCATTGAATATTCAGGACTGATTTCCTTTAGTATTGACTAAGTATTTGATCTCTTTACAGTCCAAGGGACCTTCAAGAGTCTTCTCCCACACCACAGTTCAGCACCTTTAGGTTCATTTCATCCAGTTCTGTGGCTTCGGTTGTGCATTGACAACTCTCTGAACTGTGTTGCTTACTTGACTGCCAGATACCCATATTTCTACCAGATAATGGACATTAGGAAAACTCATAGAATTCTTAGATTTAATCATGTCCACAACTGAGTATTATGGTTTTTCTTTGTCTTAAATCAATTCCATTTCTTATTTTTCTATCTCAGCATATGGCATTATCATTCCCATAGTTGAATGAGCTACAAACTGGGAGGTCATTTTTGACTCCTCTTTATGGTAATTTTTCACTATTTATAAATTTTTCTCTCCTTCATGACTTGATCATATTTGCTTTATCTATTAAGATTACCTTAGTTTAGACCTTAGTTTCTTGTCTAGATTACTCCAGTGATATGTTAACTGTTTTTTCTCTCAGTCTTAGCTTGTAAGTTAACCTCACAATGATTCTTTGAAAGTGAAAGCCAGATGCAGTCATTCTGTTTATTTCCTTATTCCCTTTGTCTCCATACACAGTCCATGCTCCTTCACATTATCTATTATCTAGTGTAGTCTGTATAGAAGTTTCCTTTGTTGTGTCTAAGATGTCTTTGTTTTTTTTCAGTTTCTCAAGTCATGATCCAAACAAGGTCCCATGTTGCATTCAGTCATTACGTCCTTTTCAGTCTTTTTCTAAAACATTTTCCCCTTTTTGTTTCCATGCAGTTAACTTACTGGAGAAACTCGGCTACTTTTGCCATGAGTTATACTGATTGTTTCATTAAGAGATGTGAAATGGTGATACTAGTCTGTCATTCTTTTTTATATTTAACTGAAATTATTTAATAAAGGGAATCCTGAAATACAGTTCTTTCAGAAATAGCAAAATAAATGCTTGATATTTTAATTTACAGAGTAATGAATTTGTGTTCTAGTAATCTGTAAAAGGGAGGTTTTATGATGGTTATTATCATTATGAACTTCTGGATTTTACACATATATTTCAACTCAATGCAGTCATTATTGCTTTTGATGGTCAAAATATTCTTTGTCTATTGACTCCTTTTGTTATTTGGTATTTTTCTTTATTGATTTATTCGATAGGATATTCCAGGCTCATTGTATACATTTTTTGGTTTAGGCTTTCTCCTCTTCTGTTTTAAATATCCCTTTGTCTTTTTCTTACAAGAACACTAGTCATTAGATTTAGGGCCTGCTTGCCTAATCCAAGATGATCTTATCTCAATTCTTAGTGACATCTGCAAAGACCCTTTTTCTCAATAGGGTAATAATATTAGATTTTTGGGATTAGAACATAGAAATGCTTTTTCAGGGATAGTTACCATTCAACTCACCACACCATCAGAATGGCATTTTCATCTACCTCTTGTCTATAGACTGAATGTTTGTATATTCCCAAATTAATTTATTGAAACTTCATTCCCTGTGTGGTGATATTTGGAGGTGGGGTCTTTAAGGGGTGAAGTGAAGTGAAGTAAAAGTCGCTCAGTCATGTCTGACTCTTTGTGACCTCATGGTCTATACAGTACATGGAATTCTCCAGGCCAGAATACTGGAGTGGGTAGCCATTCCTTTCTCCAGGGGATCTTCCTAATCAAGGGATTCTACCCTGGTCTCCCACATTGTAGGTGGATTCCTTACCAGATGAGCCACAGGGGAAGCCCTTTAAGGGGTGAATAGTGTCTTAAAAAAAATTTTTTTTAAAGACCCTTGCCCCTTCTGCCATCTGAGGACACAGCAAAAACTGACTGTCTGTGAGCTAGAAAGTAGATCCTCATCAGACACAAAATCTGGCAATTTGATCTTGTACTTCTCAGCCTCCAGAAATGTGAGAAATAAACTTCTGTTGTTTCTAAACCACCCAGTCTATGGAATTTTATTATAGTGTCCAGAATGGACTAAGACTTTCCCTTCTTTGAAAAAGTACAAGGAAGGACTTTTAATGGACTGAATTTTGCTTATAGATGTTCATGGACTAACTAGTCGCAAGCCACTTGTAATAATGCAATATGGGAATACTGGCATCATGGTTGATGTGTTCTTTGTCCTTTACTTGGCCCTTTCTTAAGTGAAAGGCATCAGATAGCACAAACACAAGCTTTGGGACAATTGTAAACACAATAGGCCCTCAAACATATATTGATTTATAGAACATGAATATTCTTTGTTTTTTCAGTCTTGGTTCCATTCTGGCTTACTTGGTCATTTAACGTATTCTCAATCTAGACAATATGCTTAAAAAAAAAAAAAAGTACACAGTTTCCGACTCCTTTTTGTGAGTCCCAAGCCTTACTTGCACTAATTTGTTACTAGAAAGCTACTGCTTAATTTAGGAAACATTGCCTTCTTGACACCCATTTTGCTTAGGAACTGAATTTCTCTATAAGGCAGACTTCTCAGGAGTTTCCTTTTCTTCCCTAAGTGGTGATCCATCAGTATAATCCTCTTTGAAGAATTCATTTACTGTAACATTTGTTCTCTGAAAAAAGCATTATTATTGATAGATTGCTGCAGTTAGCTTATTGGAAATACATTCTCTGTCCTGTATTCTTAAAGTATCTAGTACTTAGATTCAGAGCTAAAACTTTTGAGCCATGAAGTGTCAAGTAGGGTTTTGAAACAAGGAGTGTCTAGTGAGAAATGGAGTGTTTCCTGCTGTATCAGTAAACAAGGATGTCACAGGCATCAGTGATTCTGGGCCTCCAAAGGCAAATTCTTGAGCCCTGAGGGCACTCAGGAAGGAGAAAAATAGCCTTGTGAGATCAGGCAGCCATTATGCTCCAGCCACGCCCTGTGGTGAGCACTAAAGAACTCAGGATGTGAACTCAGGATACTGGCCCTAGGATAGCTGAGATGCTAATAAAAGGAATGATTTCTGTGAGCCCAGACTCTTGTATCTTCCCATACATAGAAAAGTGCTAAATTCCTTGACTTGGGATATCTGATTTTCTTCAATTCACAAAGATGTTCAGACTACCAGCCTTTTGTTGCAAACTTCTATGTAACCTGACTCACACCCCCCCTCTCCAGAGCAGTTTTCTCAGGGTTTCTTGAGATGTTGCCTCTTGAGCTTAAGTCCTAAAAATTTGCATTGAATAAAACATAACTCTCAACTTTAAGGCTGTGACTATTTTTAAGTCAACACTTGCTAAGAAGCAGACAACAATGACATTCTTTAAGATAGAAGTTCTTTCATTCTTCATTGTTAGGCAGTTTATTTAATATTTGCTGATTATAAATTCTTGTGCTTATATTATTTACACATTTTTCAAGATATCTCTGGATATCTTGAAGATCTGCCAAAGTGTTCCATGTAAACATTTCAGTTTGTAAGTTTATTCAAAATCCTGTATTTACTCTGTCTTGTTTATTATTTTTCAGATGTGATTTTTAAATCTTATTATTTCCTCCTTCTTACAGATTTATTTCCTGGCCTCTTAAGTTATTTGATATGTTTGTACTATTATCAACATTGACCTCAGGAAATATTAAGTGACTTTATTCCCTAGTATAACCTTCCTCCTTTTGCCATATTGGTTACAGAAGTATCTTGAATTTAAACTCATGGAATGTAGCAAGTTTGTTGGTCAGGAAAATGAGCAATGAGAGAGAAAGGTATTTGTCTATGAATAAATCTCTTAGGCCTAAATCCAAAGATATGCTCAAAAGTCAGGCATTATAGAAAGAAAGCCTTTTAGAGAATGCTCAAAATTTTGTGTTGGGCTTTTATTGTCATTGCTTGGAACCGCTGATGACACCTAGGCATCAAGTTCTCGCTGCATCAGTGATTTTTAAACCTGGTTACCCATTGCAACAACTTTGGGAAGCTTTTACAAGGATGTTAATGCCAGAATCCCACCCTCAGGAATAGTGAGGTAATTGCTCTGGGGTAGAGCCTGGGCAGCTGTTTACTTTTTCAAGTTCCATAGGGTTGTGTTCAGGGTTGGAAACCACTGATTTACATGAGAAGAAGATATCTATTAACAAAATCTCAAATAGTTCCAGATAAAACTAAATCCACTGTTCATGCTTCACATTTGTAGAGTTCAAATTTGTTTTTGAAAGTAGTTACATTTTTAGCAGTTTAAACAGTATTTAACTGGTGACAGTAAGCCGCTCACACAGTACCAAAGTGGGATATAAATTAATGATTCTCCTTTTTGGCTAAACATTTGATTCATTTCAGGAATGTTTACAAATATTAATGTCCATATCACACCCAGACCAATTAATTTAGAGTCTCTAGGGGTGAGACTCAGCTATTAATTTTTTTTAAAAATCCCTTTTTTAAATGGTTCTCTACATTCAAATGTAAAGCTCCGAACATTCACATGTAAGGCACAAATCTAAATATTTGTCAGTTTGATGTTCTTTAAATGATTTCAACCAAGTACAGTCTAACTCTAAGACTGTTTTATAGGATATTATTGACAGACTTATAATTTTGAATTCTGAAGCCAAGATTCGTTCTTTATTCAACTACGAACAATCACACATCTTTGGTCTAAGGTAAGATGCTGAATTTCACTTGATGTTTTCTGTTATAAAAATAGTTGAGCATGTGTTATATATTTATAATATTTAAAATAATTTTATAATATTTAACTTTTTATAATATTTTAAAATTTTATATTTATTATATTTTATAATATTTAAAATTATTTTATAATATAATATTTTAAACTATTTAAAATAATTTTTAAAGCATGTTTGAAGGTAATTTGTCTTCTGTAATATTACAGAGTAAATTATAGTCATTAGATTTTTACATTATAGCCTTTGCTGCATTTAGGTTCTGTATTATTATCACTTTTGCTTGATTTATTAGAGGCATTTTGTGTACTATTCAGTTTTCTCAGGAGTCAACTGGGGCTTCCCTGCATTGGTATTGTTGTGTTGTAGCCATGCGTTCTGGGAAACAAACTCACTCAGAAGGACAATGCAGATAGTGGAGTGCAGTTTATTACACTGGTGGGCCCAAGACAGAGTCTCCTCTTAGCCAAGGACCCCATCCAGCATTTGTGAAAATCTCTTATACCCCATGTGTACGTGTCCGAACCCACCACCCCAAATTCCTTGAGACTTACATAAACTAAGGAAGGGTAAATACAATCCCAATAACCCCATCACTCATGTGCCATGTGCTCAGACCGTTAAACAATTAGCCAATAATCAATAAGCATGAGGTTATACTCCGACAGGTACAGAAAAATGGCCTGTCTGGAGGAAGGGGTGATTAGTGTATGTGTTCTCTTAGGCGATGAGTAACCTGGATACGATCAAGATTCCCCTGTCCGGAGGGGGTCTTATCCTTCTGTTGTCGTTTCCACAGACACTAAACACAGAGTTCAGAGTCCGTTGGAGAGATGGCCGAGCGTGGTCAGCATGGACAGGCCTGAGATGGAGTCCAGGCCCTATGAATTCCTTCTTCAGTTGTAGCCACGCATTCCAGGAAACAAACTCACTCAGAAGGACAATGCAGATAGTGGAGTGCAGTTTATTACACCTGCAGGCCCAAGGCAGAGTCTCCTCCTAGCTAACGAAACTGACAGACTTTTGTGAAAATCTTATATATCTTAAGTGTACTGCTCAAGCCCACATCCCCAAATTCCTTAAACCTAGCCTGGAAAGTGTTAAAGGGAAATACAGTCAGGTTACAGCCATGATTCATAATCAGAAGGGTCAGCTGGTTACAAACTGTAGCCTCCACCAGTGGGTGCCATAAAGATGACAGAGGTGACTGACTACATAGGGGATTATTACATTCTTTTTGGCGACAGGACATCTCAGTATGGAACCTGGTGTTTATCAGTCCAGGAGGCCATTTCCGCAGTAGGTATATACCCATGGCTACCAGGCAAATAGTCCAAAGTTCACTGAAAGTGCAAGATGGAGTCAGCTCGGCCTGTTCTTTCCTCCGTCAGTATTGGGTTGAATTCCTGCCAAAATATGGTCTTTTTAAAAAGAGGCCTAGAAATGGATGATATATTGCCCAAATTTTGCTCCTCAATATTTATCATACTCTTTAACCCAAGGTTCAAATATTTTCTGGTTGAATTTATACTCCTTAACATTTAAAAGCACCTGAATTAAAGAAATTTTCACTTTCTTAGGTTCATGATTTCCTTTCGACTAGTAAAGTAACTTTTTCAAGTATGGTGGAGGAGGTCAGTGAGAATGTTCTACCTAAGAAGTAAAGCAGTTACTTTTCTAAAATTAGAATTCTCTAATGGTAGTATATAAGTCTTAAACCTTTTTTTAAAATTACATTCATTAATAGCTGAGCTTCATTTTTGGACTTTCTAGTTTAAAGAAAGTAGAAAAAAAAGATACAGCTATTATACTTTGTTGGGTAGTGCGCTCTTTATCTCAAAATGTGTTTTCACACTCAATTTTAACTTTCTGTGAATAGCATCAGATAATCACATAGCAAGCAGTGATGAGGAATTCTGGGGAAATCATACCAGTAGATCCTCCTTTTGCATAGCAAGTATGTTTCTGAGTTTTTTAATTGTAGACCATAGATTTTGGCCTCTTATTATTAATACATTAAATGAATTTTTTTTCTGTATGTTTTCTTTCTTTTATGAGGTAATATTTTTCTCTGGTATTCTGGCTAAATTTTTAACAGTAGGATTTTAAGTCACGTAAAAAGCAATTCAAGAAGTGAAATGCTCCTGAGGATATTGATGTGTGTGTGTGTGCTTTCTTATAATGTTTAAATGGAGTCATTCTCTCCTACATGAAAAAAACAAATTGCCATTCCATTGTTGATACATGTAATAACCACCTATATAGTGGTTAGCAACATGAAGTCAGACTGCCTGCTGTTTACTAGTTGTGTAAAGTGAGATCTCTTGGACTGCAAAAAAGATTCAATCAGTGCATCCTAAAGGAAATCAGTCCTGAATATTCATTGGAAAGACTGATGCTGAAGCTGAAACTCCAATACTTTGGCCACCTGATGCGAAGAGCTGACTCATTTGAAAAGACCCTGATGCTGGGAAAGATTGAAGGCAGGAGGAAAAGGGGATGACAGAGGATGAGATAGTTGGATGGCATCACCGACCTGATGGGCATGAGTTTGAGTAAACTTTGGGAGTTGGTGATGGACAGGGAGACCTCGCGTGCTGTAGTCCATGGGGTCGCAAAGATTCAGACATGACTGAGCGACTAAACTGAAATGAAAGTGATATCTCAGTTACCATCTATAAAATGGAGGATAATTGTATATTTCCACATAGAGTTACCCTGAGACTTACATATGAAAAATTAGAAGGGCATAGCAGTGCTTGACATATAGAAAGCACTATAAAAAATATTAGTAATAGATATAAAGTAGCAGTACTTCAAGTGTTTCTTTATATCTGTCTACTTGCCCTATACTATTTTTGATTTTTGCTTAGGAAATAAATTTTAACTTCACTTTTTCAGTATCTCTGCAGTCTTCTAGATGCTGCCAGGTAATATGCTATTTATAATGTCAACATTCAAACAACTTTTTGAAGAAAAATTAACATTTTAATTTTATGTTCCTTTTAACAAATTTTTCTTTGACAGGAAGTTTATTTCATTGTATTTTAAAGTCCATCCTTAGAATACTCAGTCATGTTTTTAAGTTATGCATCTCAAGTTAGTTTATTTTTGTTTTTCTACTGATTCCATCTAGCATTGGTCACTGAGGTCCAATGGTGATAATTTAAATCATAGCTTAGTATTATATAAATCCCGTTTCTTTGTATTTGGGATTTTTGCCTGTATCATTTTTTCTTACTCCCACAGTTTTTTGGTTTGTTTCTAATTGTACCATTCTCTTCAGTAGGTCATCTTATTAATGTGTTTGATTTCTTCCTTTAGCATTGCTTCTTCCATTCACTTTATTTTTTTCCCTTACTTCAAAAATCTAGACTAGCATAATGATAAATTTTATACAATTTCTTTAGGTTTTCCACAGCACTTAGATAAGGCTAATTTGGGGCTTAGGGAAATGTGGATTTACACCTTCAGTAGCATCACATCCTATTTAAGTTTCTGAATTTTTATTTGCCAAGATCTTCTTATAAATCTTATATTGTAAATAACTAATACTCAAGAAGGTTGCTCCTTTGATTAGCTCTCCTATCCTCTTTGTTTCCACATCAACAGTGTGCAAACTTGCCTTTACATGTCCCAATTTATACTGAAATGAAGCAAAAACACACATGCACAAAGAAACTTCTCTTGATATCACATCTCTCTGCAGTCACTGTCCTATTTCTTTTACTCTTGCAGCAAAACATGTCTGCACAAACTGTCCCCGCTTGCTCACCTCTGTTTACTCCTCAGCCCACTTAAGATTTGGCATTGACTTGGACAGCTCTGTCAGAACTGCACATCCTGTTCATCTCAAGGTCACTTGCAACTTCTATGTTGATGAATCTAGTGGATCCTATATTCTCATCTTGCTGTAAGCAAGACATTGACATAACGGGACATTTCTTTCTATGTGAGAGTTACCTTCTGTGATAGCACATACTCCTATGGCTGCAGTTTCTGCTCTTCATTTTCTAGGCAACCTCTGATTGATAGAATACTCAGGCTTGGTCCTGAATCCACTTTTTTCCTTTATACTCTACCCCTAGTTCATTCACTTATGCCTTTGCCTTTTAGTACATCTGTATGCAAGTGGATGCCCCAGTTTTTATCCCCAATGTGAACTATTATTCTGAGCTACCAGACTCTCATTGAATCATCTTAATTTTCTTTGCATTTCAAAAAATAATTTGTCTTTATTATAAAGAAATTAACCTATGCAGGTAATTAAATATAATAAATGAAATTCCTTCTGACTCTGAAAGTGACATTATCAACATTAAGGAAAATCATTCTAGATGTCTTTCTATGCATATACAGACAGAAGAATAGATATGTGGAAATAGTTTATAAAAATGGAATCATTGTTTCCATTTAAAATTCCAAATGAATCTCATAGAAAAGAAAAAGAAACCCTAGTGAGACAGAAAGAATTGCTGAATTTCAAATAGCTGTCTTTTCACTTTAGAGGTAATTATATCTCTAGCATTTCCTCTAAGGTTAAGAAAAGAGATTATATAAAATATTTCAAGTGGTCTGAGCATTATATCTCACTTTTATAAAGTATTGATTGACTCTTTACTGTAAAAAAGCTGAGGACATTAATGTTCTCATTGATTTGGCCTCCCAGCTTCCTTGTATTCACCTATGTTAGAAGGATGCACTCCTGCCATTTCCTGACCTACCTTCATGAGTCAGAGACTCTATTTTCCTCTCTACCCAGGAAGGGAAGGAAGCTAAGCTGGGTTTCTTGTAGTGACCTAAGATGAGCAATACTTTTTATATTTGACTACAGAGTAAGACTTAAAAATTTTTAGTTTTCTCTGTTTACTTAGCCAGTATTTTTTTTTTAAACTTGGAAGACATTCACATTTATATTTACTTTCCCAAATTGCCAGCTGTGCATATGTTGTTGTTCTTGTTCAGTTGCTCAGTTG